TGCTGGGAGCTGGAGTGACATCATATTCAAGCTCCCGGCATCACTGCGGGTTGCGCGAGCTGAGCAGGAGAGCTCAGGTGAAAGTGCTCCCTCACATCCCGCCCGGTAAACAACTAGTCAGCTCTTGGGCACCCATAAAACGAGGCAAACAAGGCATTAGCCTGGGCATTCGGGAGTGGCGTTTTTTGCCGCCCCCTGGAAAGTGCCGCCCAGGGCAAATGCCTTGTTTGCCTCGTGGTAGATACAGCCCTGGGTTCGATGTTCGTTTTCTTTGTAAGATTTGTGAGTTTAAGTCTACCACTTGTTTCCAGAAGTCTGCAACTCTTGGGCATTGCCACCACATGTGTCACTATTAATTTTTTATCCAATTTGAGGTCCACTATTAATGTAAAATTCAATTCATGTCCCCACCAATAACCATAATGCCTTTAGCAAATTTCTCAGCCTTTTCTATCCAGGAGATCAAAAATTTCGATAGGAAGTTGTGGCGAAACCAACCTCGCCACTGTGAACTGGAGAAGCCTGGTTGCTCGCCTGCTCCCTTTGGACTATGGCCCTGCAGGTTAAACCGTTTATTTCCCCTGCAGAAAGGCTTATTTGTGTGATCTGAGTGCCATTCATCTAATAATGTGCACTCAGATCCCAGCTATCTGGGGATATGTGAAATGTCTGTGTGTTATGTGTAAAGGTGACTTTATGTATTTTAAAGTGTTTTGTGTCTTTTTGCAACCATGTGCTTAATGGAGTCTTGTGTCTGTCCTGGGAGATAATTGAATTACTTATCTCCAGGATAGAAGACTCTGAAACTGGTTTGGGCCAGAAAGCCATGCTTCATTTAGTCACAAAGGACTTTTTACTAACTTTTGAACCCCTTGTCTGATTTGTGCCATTTTTGAATATGTTGTTCCCCTGAATGGATTGATTGTGAATATGTAATTTTATGTGAATGTGATGTATGGTTTTGGAGTTATGAAAGTTGGGTAGAAAGTATGTTTTAACTGTATGTATAATTGAGTTTCCTCTCAGGATAAGGGGAGGGAATATGTGGGATGTAACTGTGATGTGATTGGTTGTTTTGTAACGCCCTGTGGGCTGTACTATGTTTGTGGATTGGGAATAAAAGAGACTGTATGTGACAGTACAGAGAGTTCCTGTTTTAACCCTCAAAGTGAAGTGTCGTCTCATTATTGGGGAAGGATTTATTGTATGCTGTTCCAGTTTGACTGCTAGGAGAGTAAACCTATTCGTATGGTTCCTATTCAACGGTCTACAGCATTCATATGCTTGAGAGAAGGTATACGCTTCTCTGGTTCGGTGATTGTGGTGTCTGGCTGCAGTGCTTGGAGTCCTCAGGAAGCGCTAGGAGCATCTTTCAACGGAGGTACCCAGTCGGGGTGCCAGGCGATCCGTTACATTGGTGGCAAGCGGTGGGATGGCGTCCTAGTGCGAGGTAAAGCAGCTCAGAGACACAGTTCGTGGAGTTACAAATTGAGGGCAACGCTAGCACACGTGCAGCGCCCCTGGGAGCAGAGGTATCCAGCGACTTGGAGCAGACAAGTATGGAAGGCTCTGGCAATGATTGGATGGCCAAGGTGAGGCAGCGAGTGGCCCAGTATGGGGATGATTTACCCATGGAGGTACGCCGGGTGATCTGGAACCAGGTCACGGCCGAGCGAAACACAAGGCTGGCCCGAGAATTCCGGCTGGCGAAAGAGAGAGAGTATGCTCAGCGGAAGGAGTGTTACAGCAGCCGAGTAGAGGCTGCATCCGAGGAGGCTAGCCGTCTCCCCCTGAGGCGGCCGCAGGAACCCGAAGTAGGGGTCCTCATAGACTGGTCCTGTGAGGAACCACAACAGGCAGGTGGAGATGGGACCAGCCCAGATCCCCAGCAGCAGCCGGAGTTGCCAGGTGCGGAAGCAGGTGGTCCTTACTCGCAAATGTTGAGGGACCTCACAGACTGGTCCTGGGAAGACCCACAGATGGCAGGTGGAGATGGGACGGTGGTCTCTCTACCGGCCCTACAGGGATGCTGGGCGGTCGGCCCAGATCTCCAGCGGCAGTATGTATCCCAGGGAGCTGAAGGTGCAGTCCTTCCTCCCCAGCGGCAGTGTGTACCCCAGGGAGCTGAAGGTGCAGTCCTTCCTCCCCAGCGGCAGTGTGTACCCCAGGGAGCTGAAGGTGCAATCCTTCCTCCCCAGCGGCAGTGTGTATCCCAGGGAGCTGAAGGTGCAATCCTTCCTCCCCAGCGGCAGTGTGTAACCCAGGGAGCTGAAGGTGCCGTCCTTCCTCCCCAGCGGCAGTGTGTACCCCAGGGAGCTGAAGGTGCCGTCCTTCCTCCCCAGCGGCAGTGTGCATCCCAGGAAGCTGAAGGTGCCGTCCTTCCTCCCCAGCAGCAGTGTGTACCCCAGGGAGCTGAAGGTGCCGTCCTTCCTCCCCAGCGGCAGTGTATATCCCAGGGAGCTGAAGGTGCAGTCCTTCCTCCCCAGCAGCAGTGTGTACCCCAGGGAGCTGAAGGTGCCGTCCTTCCTCCCCAGCGGCAGAGTGTCCTGCAGGGAGCAGAGACCGTCAGTCTCGCACCCCAACCACAGGACAAAATAATGAAAGGGGAGACAGCTGGTCCCCCTCTTCACCAGCAGAGAGAGTGTCAGGGAGAGGAGCCTGATACCCCCTCTCCACAGCGGCAGTTTACAGTTCAGAGAGAGGAGCTTGTTACACCCTCTCTCCAGTGGCAGCCTAACCCAGCAAGGGGAGATGTTACACCCCCCAACAGTGCAGATGGGACTGTAGTCTCTGCACTTACAGCACAAGGGGTAGGGACAGTTGGTCCTGTTCCCCAGCCACAGAGCGGTGTATCCAGAGGGGAGACAGTCGGTCTCTCCCTCCCACAACCAGGCTCCCACCAGGCTACTTCCGTGGTAGCACTGGCATCAGGGCAGAGTACCGCTGGTCTCTGCCCACTCAGCAACCCACCAAGGCAGCCTAACAGTTGCCCACACAGTCGTGGTGAGGCACCTGGACATGGACAAAGTTCTCCTCTACCCAGGTGTAGTAACCAGTTACTGTGGGTGGGCTGTACTGCTGTTTCTGTTTTGTGGGTGGGTTACTGGACTAACCAGGGCACTGACCGGCAGGAGGTCAGATACCCTGTTAGTGTAGTTGGTAAAGGGGAGAAGTGTGGCGAAACCAACCTCGCCACTGTGAACTGGAGAAGCCTGGTTGCTCGCCTGCTCCCTTTGGACTATGGCCCTGCAGGTTAAACCGCTTATTTCCCCTGCAGAAAGGCTTATTTGTGTGATCTGAGTGCCATTCATCTAATAATGTGCACTCAGATCCCAGCTATCTGGGGATATGTGAAATGTCTGTGTGTTATGTGTAAAGGTGACTTTATGTATTTTAAAGTGTTTTGTGTCTTTTTGCAACCATGTGCTTAATGGAGTCTGTGTCTGTCCTGGGTGATAATTTAATTACTTATCTCCAGGATAGAAGGCTCTGAAACTGGTTTGGGCCAGAAAGCCATGCTTCATTTAGTCACAAAGGACTTTTTACTAACTTTTGAACCCCTGGTCTGATTCATGCCATTTTTTAATATGTTGTTCCTCTGAATGGATTGATTGTGAATATGTAATTTATGTGAATGTGATGTATGGTTTTAGAGTTATGAAAGTTGGGTAGAAAGTATGTTTTAACTGTATGTGTAATTGAGTTTCCTCTCAGGATAAGGGGAGGGAATATGTGGGATGTAACTGTGATGTGATTGGTTGTTTTGTACCTTCCTGTGGGCTGTACTATGTTTGTGATTTGGGAATAAAAGAGACTGTATGTGACAGTACAGAGAGTTCCTGTTTTAACCCTCAAAGTGAAGTGTCGTCTCATTATTGGGGGAAGGATTTATTGTATGCTGTTCCAGTTTGACTGCTAGGAGAGTAAAACTATTCGTATGGTTCCTATTCAACTGTCTACAGCATTCATATGCTTGAGAGAAGGTATACGCTTCTCTGGTTCGGTGATTGTGGTGTCGGCTGCAGTGCTTGGAGTCCTCAGGAAGCGCTAGGAGCATCTTTCAACGGAGGTACCCAGTCGGGGTGCCAGGCGATCCGTTACAGAAGTAGCTATTATCTTTTAGTAATCTTTGGCATTACCAATAGCCCTTCAGTGGTATACTTGCAATTTATTTATGCTATGTTCGTATCGTTACTATTCTTCCACAAACAAACCCTTGTTCCTGTTGCATTTTACATTACTGCTTTGCAATGTATGATATTTCTTTACATATTAGTCATAAACATTCTGCTATTGGGAAACCTGTGCTGGAACAAGTCAGAAATACCAATATAAATTTTTTTTTAAATAAAATAACATTTAACTTTGTTGTACCCATGGTGGATGCAGTAAGAGAAATAGGGATGTGCATGGGCAAAAAATTCGGTTTGGTACGGCATTCCAAAATTCGCCACTTCGGCAATTTGGGACTTTGGCAATTCAGTTCGATTCGGCACTTCCGAAATTCGGGACTTCGGCAATTCGAGACCAACCCTAACCTACCCCTAACTCTACTCCCAACCCTACCCCTACTTTAACCCTACTCCTAACCCTAACCCTGCCCTTACCCTAACTCTACCCCAACACTACTCCTAACCCTACCCCTAAACCTACCTCAACCCCTATCCCTAACCCTACCCCAACCCCAATCCTACCCCTACCCGTTTTGCCAGTCCGAAGCACTTCGGCACTTCCGAAATTCAGCACTTCTGCAATTTGGTTCGGTTCGGCAATTCGGGACTTCTGCAATTCGGGACATTAGTTCGTCACTTTCCGAAATTCGGGACTTCGGCACTTCGGGTAAGTGTAGTATTAGGGGTAGGGTTAGGAGTAGGGTTAGGGTTGGGTTAGGAGTAGGATTAGAGTTAGGAGTAGGGTTAGGGTTGGGTTTGTAGTAATGTTAGCGTTAGGAGTAGGGTTAGAGTTATGGTTGGGTTAGGAGTAGATCTAGGGTTAGGTTTGGGTTAGGAGTAGGGTTAGGGTAGGGTTAGGAGCAGGGTTAGGGTTGGTCCTAACCCTACCCTACCCCTAACCCTACTCCTAACCATACCCTAACCCTACCCTAGCCCTACTCCTAACCCTACCCCAGCCCCAATCCTACCCCTACCCGTTTTGCCAGTCCGAAGCACTTCGGCACTTCCAAAATTCGGCACTTCGGCAATTTGGTTTGGTTCGGCACTTCTGAAATTCAGAACTTCGACACTTTGTAAATTTGGCAATTCGGCACTTCAGCAATTCGGTTCAGTTCAACAATCCATGGCAGTTGTCTTTCATCTTCATTTTGAGATGACAATTCTAGCAAAATGTTTTCTTTGGGTCAACTAGATTTTTCATCCACATTCTTTGTCTGTGAAAGGTGAATCATAATGATGTATGTGACAATCCTTTAACCTCAAAACCCTGAACCATAAAATGTGCCTTTCAGAAATGGTGACTTCCTTTAGAAAGCAAAGTTTGGCCAATAGACGCTTTCTTGTTTTTACAGTTTTTGCTGGAACCATAGGTGTATGTCACATATTTTTTACAACCTAGCATTTTTCCACTGGGCTGGTTAATTATCAATACCTTTATTTGCCAATTAACTATCACTGATTTATTCACAACCAATAAATTATAGTTGAATTGAAATCTAAATAAGTGCGAAATAGCTGATCATTTGCAAAATTTTAAATTCATCACATTTCATTATGAAACATTTTAGAACCACATCTCCTGCATAGGTGGACAAGCAGTATAGATGTTACATTATTACAATTTAACTCCTAATACAACCCCTAAGTTAGTTTAGAGGACAAAAAGAGGTGACTAAAAAATCAGCTGGAGAAAAAAATTATAAATACAGGGATAGTTTGACCAGAAAACTTCAGCCTCTCAAAACAAGCATAATAAGATTGATGTGTAGTCGGCAGGGGAAGTAGCCTTTAGTAACAAAGCTAATCTCGTTGAAGTCCTATAACCCTCACACTTTATTTAGATTTATAAATCTCCAGAGTCTGCTGCCGGAAGACATGAAGGGAAAATAGCATTTTCTTTGCCGTAAATTCCTTTTCCTTTAAAGTGATAGTAATGCCTTAGGACAAGTAAGTCTTACATTACATTACATTCGCACTATATCAAAGGCAATGTTAGCACACACATTTGTGCTAATGAACAGTTTGTAAAAATGAGCTTACCCAGACCCACCTTCAGGGAAGGTACAGCTGACACTGCAGCAAAGGGCTAGTAAATTTGGGGTCCAAGGACTGACCCCTGCTGTGCAATACTATATTCTGAATATTGGCTGCACAAATGCATGTCATTCAACGCAAATAGATCATGTGACATGCCTCACAAAGTCAGGTTCTTTTGATTGCATTGTTTATAACATTAGTAAATGTTTGAGGCTTGAGTGCTCCAATTTCTACACAGATTTTCCTTGAGCTGCTTAAGTGTACGTGGTTTGTTCACGTATACCTGCTCCTTCAGACATCCCCACCAGAAGTAATTGGGAGCTGAAAGGTTGGGTGAATGTGGCAGTCAATTTATCTGTGAATTTCAGATTGTCAAATGTCAAACATCAAACATGGCTGTATGGGCAGTAGCCCCATCCTGTTGAAACCATATTTCAGGATGACTTTCTGTTTGTGTTAAAAAAAACAGCTAAAATTTTGGGGGAAAAAATTACACTATTGGAACTTGTTGTTCCTTTGTGAAATTACCAATGATGAATCTCTCAAGACTTTTTTATCATCTTCCGGCTCCGGTATCAGTGCGGTGCGCGAGGGAGCACGCGCCGGCCACCCAGACAGACAGTCCGCCCGCCGGGGTCAGCAGGGCCAGACTCGGCCTCAGGTGGCCTGAGGTGGCCGGCTCCTGGGCCCCCCAGGAGAAGAGGCTGGCCCTGTGGGTACATACTTGGTACTAAGTGATAAGAGGGAACCTGTTGTCTCCACCCCCTGGCCTCTACCCATTTGTGGCGGGTTGGGGCTAATAGTAAAAATAACTACTCTTCCAAGTGACTATGGATCTTAAAGTCCCCATCACGCTCCCAGTGACTACGGGTTCCCAAGCCCCCAGTCACCCCCTCCCCCCAAATAAATAAATACCCTACCTAACCCACACTCTAATAATAGTGAGGGGGAGCATTAAAATAAAAAATAATACTGTTAAATGTCTTCTTTTTTCTAACATCTTCTTTTTTCAGCCCCAAAAAAGGCCAAATAAAAATCCACAAAGTAATAAAATAAGAAAAAACCTGATTGTAAAAAAAGAAAAGCGCCCTCCCTCCCAAAAAAGTCCATCTTCACCTGGAGAAGGCTCCGCACAAACTGAGCTTTGCAAGGCGGGGAAAAGCTTATAAAGCCATCCCACGCCGCACAATCTGCCTCAGAGCGCTCTGATTGGCAAAACTTGTAGGTAAGGCTCAAGAGTTACATGTGAAAGCGCAGACTAAATATTATAATAGGTGCCCCACCATCGGGGCATGGGAAACCTGTGCTATGTCCCCCTTTATTGGATTTGCGGGGAGGTGTCTTTTTTACAATAGTGAGCAGTCGGCCCACTTATGTTGTTGGCTTTGCAGTTACTTGCAGTTTCAGAAATGTTAATCCGTTTGGGAATAAAAAGTGCTATATAAATTACATTTTTATAGATTTTCTCCAATGAAGAATGGAGTGGTAAAGATTGTGTAGAATACAAATAGTACAGCCAGGGGCGTACCTAGAGCATGTGGCACCCCGGGCGGGTCCTGGGTTTGGCACCCTCCTCTCCCTCTCTCCAAACCCCCAAAACAACACCTACAAAATTTTTAAAATGTGTTATTTTTTTACATTTTTAAAAAAATTTATTGAACAAATTTGTAAACTTTTTCGAACCCCTGCCCCCTTCTACAAAATCCCTGCACTCCCTCACACACAGTTACAGGCAGACAGTCACACACAAGTACAAGCAGACATTCACACGCACACAGTAACATGCAGACAGTCACATATATAGTCACAGGCAGTCATACACACAGTTACAGGTAGAGAGGTAGAGAGTTACACACACACACACAGTCACTGTTACAGGCAGACAGTTACACACACGTACACACAGTTACAGGTAGACAGTTACACACACACACACATATTTACAGGCAGACAGTTATACACACACACACACAGTCACGCACACTGTTACAGGCAGACAGTCACATGTACAGTCACAGGCAGACAGTCATACACATAGTTACAGCCACACACACACACAGTTACGCACACACACACGGTTACAGGCAGACCGTTACATACACACACACACAGTTACTTGTTGACAGTTACACACACTTACACACAGTTACAGGCAGACAGTTACACACACACACACACACAGTTACAGACACACACACAAGACAGACAGTCACACAGTTACAGACAGACAGTCACACACACACACACACACACACACACACAGTTACAGACAGACATTTTTACACACACATATTTACAGGCAGACAGTCACACACATAGACACACACACACACACAGTTACAGGCAGACAGTTACAGACACACACACACACAGTTACAGGGTCAGGCAGATAGTCACACACACAGACACACACACACAGTTACAGGCAGACAGCTACAGACACACACACACACACACACAGTTACAGGGTCAGGCAGACAGACACACACACAGACACACACACTCTTACTTACAGACAGTGTGGGCTGGAGGAGTGGATTCCCTGAAGTCCTTCCCTGGAGCCTGGCAGGTGGAGGAGCAGGGATTTCTTCTTGCTGCACCTCCATGTGCAGCAGTTACAGCAGCTTGTAAGGGCTGTGTTAAGCCCCGCCCCTGCTCACGGTTAGGCCCTGCCCCTAAATGGCAGTAACTCCGCCCCCTTCTTCCTCCCGTGCGGCCAGTTTATCTTGCTGGACTCCGTGTGAGCTGTGCGACACCCCAGCTGCCCTGGGGCACAGCTCACACGTCCCCCATTAGCCCTCAGACCAGGGTCATGGCACCCGCCTACCAGGTGGCACCCGGGGCGGACCGCCCCCTCCTTAGTCCGCCACTGAGTACAGCAGTTTTATCCCAGGGAGGAATACAGTTGTGTGCCTGTCACGAGCGTGGGCTATAGGTCCAGCCGAGACAGTGGGGAGAGTGTGAAAGTGACAGGGTTAATGACACCAGACCCCTGGTTACCTGTTGCTAGTCCCAGCAACCACTCTATTAACCCCTGCAATCCCTTCTACACTAACCCCCTTGTACACACTTTACTGCCACCACCAAGACTTTAAACCCGGGCGTCTTAGGTTACCCCACACACAGGAGAATTATAGAATCACAGTTCTACTTTTACTGATCAAACTCATATAATTAACATTTGGTAATGTGTTTACCTGAGTTTTCCTCTGGAGAGAGAAGCTCATAGAGAACAGAGACACAAGCTGATTTAGTAAACATTTAATCTGACAAAAAAGATTCACAGTGCTGAGTACAAAATATAGAAATAAATGACATACAGATAACAAATTGCAAAACAGTACATAAAATAAAATAGGAGAAAACACAAGAAATTCCTTACATGTATTTACCCCATATAGAATTCTTGTGGGAGTCTTAGATGGTATAGGTCTCCTAGAAGTTGCTGACCAAAGAAAAAATTAATAATTGGATAGTCTGGATAGTCCAGCACCCTCATTATATATCTAAACCAGTTGTTTATTAGTGGGCAGACCCCTGGGGGAAAACAGAGGGGGTTGTTCTGGCAGTTTATTGCCCACTCTATGCAATTCCTTGTGTCCAGCTCTGGTGATGGCTATCGAGATGTTTTATGGTCTAGGCCTGGTGCAAGATCAAAGACCACAATAAATGTAATCGCAAGGTTTACAAAAAAACAACTCTTAACATTTCTCAACACAAATCCAACACCAACTCATGCTTTTGGCATGACAGTGCCATTAATTCTCGATGTATGAATCAGACCATAACATAATCAAGATATCAGGGATCTGGGAAGACCTAAGAATCTAGAATAGGTTGCCAAGGATCCATGGACTAACCTGGAATAACCCATATATACAGACAAGTGCGTAATGCTGAAACGCCTGGTGTCTTTATATAAAGTTCAGAATAATTACTTATTACATAGTAGAAGCATCAAGCTTGAAAGAATCATTTAACATAATCCAGGAAAATGGGAAAATTCATCAAGAGAAAAGGTTTGCCTTTATTCTTCCATCATAATTCAAAAGTGATGTGAAGCAAATAATAAAATGAAACTTACATGACAGAGGACGGAGTGAACTGGAACTGTTGGATGTGTGTCACATACACTGAACTTTATCAACAGCTTGGCCCATGCGGGGATGGGCTGGCAGGGTCCTTGGCGGCGGGGGATTGGGGGCCACCTCCTGGTGCAGGTTTTTTTTTTTGCCACTACTACTTTTCCCCCTCTTCTTTGTGCTGTTCTCATACAGGTATTATGTGCATGCTAGAATAGAGGTTAAGTTACGCCACAAATGAAGGATATATTAAAATAATCCTAAATATAGTAAAAAAAACTATCAGAAAAAAATAGAAGTCCAATATATGAGCTATTAAAAAAATAATAAAAAGTCCAAAATATGAGATGCATAAATGATTAGGACAGGATCTTTTTATAGCTGGAGTTGATATTCTTGTGGAAATCTGGAGATGACTGCTTCTTTTAATCCGATTTGACCATAGGAAAACAAAAGAAACTAGAATAGTATAATACATCACAAACAGATGATGTAGAATATACGGTATGTAGTAATCCTGCTCACATATTGGAGAGCTACTACAAGCTCAGGTGTAATTCGCATTCATGGTGTTGATCCCCCCGGTAGGATGTAGGTGACGGTATCTCAGAGTTGAGGTGTCCCAAAAAGAAAAAGACAAGGCAAAAAATAGTGCTATCTGTATATAATTGGTATAGATAATCAGTGGCAAGGTCTTATACGCACATTTATTTAAGCAGGAACTACTGCTCCGTTTTCTAGGTTTGGGTTGTATAATCCCCACCTGAGATTTTTTTGGTGAAAAGTTCTCCAAAATTCTAGGTGACTAGGTTAAAACAAATAAATAAATAAAAGTAAAAAAGGTGGCACAAAAGTGTAAAATGGCTCATATTCCTTTAATAAAGCAATGATAAGTAAAAACAAACCAAACGCGTTTCACCATCACAGGGCTTCCTCAAGTGGTGATAAAAAGTTTAACCTAACCTCTATTCTATTGTGTACACTCTTTCTATTTGAAGGTTTTTGAGGGAGACTCAAACTTTAGGTATTTCTGCCTGGTTTAAAAATAACTTTCTGTCTGGTCACTTAGCGCTGATCTATCCGTTGTTTAATTATGTGCATGCTGCCCAGCACCCAGAATGGCTGTGTGAGAGCCACACAGTCATGACTTCCACGCCAGCAGGGCCCCCAAACTTTACTTTACTTTTAAGGGGTTGATCCAACCAAAAACAGTCTTTTAATAAAACACTGGTTTTGGATGAGTAACAGTTGCTGTCACACATCCCCCTATTAAATAAAATAAAGCCTATTTAATTACACGTTCCCACTGTATTTTCTGATGATATCACAAGCAGTGTCCCTCACATGTGCAGCCATGCAAGTAGCCTTGAAATACATATTTGGAGGCTACTTCTGGGGTTGCGTGTGTGGGATGCTGCTAGTGATGTTGTGTTCCTGTATTTCAATGAGTTGTGTTAGAATTATTCATTTATCTTGTTTTACCTGCTCTACAGCAAATCAGAATATGTTGGTGCTATATAAATGATTGTAATAATTGCAAGTGTGTGAGGTGCGTGCAGGGAAACATGGGGTTGATGGGGTGCAGGGGCCAGGGGGGATGAAGTTAATGCGGTGAGCAGAGGTAGGTGTAGAGAGACATGGGTGATGGGTGCAGGGGGGCTGTGTTGGGTGCAGGGGGACTGTGTTGGGTGCAGGGAGGGAGACATGGGGGTTGTGATGGGTGCAGGGGGGTTGAGGTAGGTGCAGGGAGACATGGGGCCTGAGGTTGATGCAGGGAGACATGGGCCCTGAGGTGGGTGCAGGGGGCACAGATGGATGCAGGAGGCTGTATGGGTGTAGGGAGACATGGGGACTGTGATTTGTGCAGTGGGGCTGTGTTGTGTGCAGGGAGACATCGGGGCTTGGTTTGGTGCAGGGAGGAAGACATGGGGGCTGTGATCAGTGCAGGGGGGTTGAGGTGGGTGCAGGGAGACATGGGGCCTGAGGTAGGTGCAGGGGGGCTGAGGTTGGTGCAGGGAAACATGGGCCCTGAGGGGGCACAGATGGGTGCAGGAGGCTGTGTTGGGTGGAGGGAGACATGGGGGCTGTGATGGGTGCAGGGGGGTTGAGGTGGGTGCAGGGAGACATGGTGGCTGTGGTGAGTGCAGGGGGGCTGGGTTGGGTGCAGGGAGGAAGACATGGGGGCTGTGATGGGTGCAGGGGGGTTGAGGTGGGTGCAGGGAGACATGGGACCTGAGATGGGTGCAGTGGGGCTGAGGTTGGTGCAGGGAGACATGGGTCCTGAGATGGGTGCAGGGGGCACAGATGGGTGCAGGGGGCTGTGTTGGGTGGAGGGAGACATGGGGGCTGTGATGGCTGTGTTGTGTGCAGGGAGACATGGAGGCTGTGGTGAGTGCAGGGGGGCTGGGTTGGGTGCATGGAGGAAGACATAGGGGCTGTGATCGGTGAAGGGGGGTTGAGGTGGGTGCAGGGCGACATGGGACCTGAGGTTGGTGCAGGGAGACATGGGCCCTGAGGTGGGTGCAGGGGGCACAGATGGGTGCAGGAGGCTGTGTTGGGTGTAGGGAGACATGGAGCTGTGATGGCTGTTTTGTGTGCAGGGAGACATGGAGTCTGTGGTGAGTGCAGGGGGGCTGTGTTGGGTGCAGGGAGGGAGACATGGGGGCTGTGGTGGGTGCAGGGGGCTGAGGTGGGTGCAGGGAGACATGGGGCCTGAGATGAGTACAGGGAGACATTGTGTCAGTACAAAAAATCTACAAGGAGTGTGCTTGTACTGAGTACCAGGCAGCTGCAGCTTCTTCTATCGCTGTAATAAGGGAGGAATTATGATCTCTTCAGCCATAGCATGGCTGTTCAGTCGGGCCCCTGACTGCATCCGGCCCTGGTTCATGGCCAATCTGCCTGAGTGGTCAGTCTGCTTCTGGGCCCTTGTGACATATGGCTGCTAAGTTGACATCTGCATACTTTTTCTACCATGTTTTTTTCTAGTTGGCTACATATGAAATAATATGCTGTTGTAGGAATATATTGTACACTTGCCAGAAGACATAGGATCAACTAAAGTTTTTCATGTTGTTGTCTGTAAAGTTGGTCCATGTACTTTCCGACATGTGTACAAAACTATCTCTATCTGTTAAGTAGGAGTGGAAATAAAAAAAATAAAAAAAGAAAGCAAGTAGAGGCACAGAAACTAAATATATATGTTTATACAAGTGGATGTTATGTACCATTGAAATATGTATATAATCCCTATACCCACCATACATCATAGTAGCAGTCGATACAAGAGAATGCAAATTCAGTGTCCATCTGAGATGTGTGATGTTGAGGAAGACTTAGACCTGTCCACATCCATGTTCAAAACTACATTGGAGCACTGAACACATTGGCATTCTGTACTGAAAATCTAAGTGAAAATGGCATCAATTTCACAAAAAATGCATCATTAAATATATTGGCAGCATAGCGAATCAAGGACAGGGAAATGTCAAATATTATACATATATCTTAAGGATCAAGGTATTGGGTACTCTGGGGACGAAGGGATTTATGATGTAGAATGGTGAAATCAGAAATCAATTTGACATTTAAAGTGGACAGTGAGTCTACCCCCTCCCCCATGCTGTGTTTCATGATGAAATGGCATACAAAGGTGATTTAATATGAATTTCTTTAAACTGAAAGATCTAGGGTGGCCACACTTTATTACTTTCAAATTCATACTAAAAATAAATTTAGCTTGTTTGCATTTTTGTTTGGAATATAGTAGACACGTACACGATAGTGGTAGCTGCTAATTGTGCATGCATATGTCACATCCTGTTCCTGTTTGCGGATCATTTCTGGCCATGGCTTCTGGTAACCAGTACTCTTTTTACAATTTTTGTTTAGTTTTCTTGTTTTTTTCTGGTTATCTATTCTAGGTCTGGTTTTATTTATGATGGGTTCTCTGGGTTCATTCCTTTATTCCGTTCCTGGATTCCTGTATATGTTTTTTTGTTGCCACACGTGTTCCTTTGCCATTTATCCTTTTTGTTTCAGTCTGTTCCTGCAAGCAGTGGTCTCATTCATCTGCTCCTTTCCTTGCAGGTAAATACTGTGTGTGTTTTATTGTTGTACTTTTAGTCATGCATATCTAGACAGTTAAGACCCACCGTAATTGGAGTATTTTGGCGCAGTGGTGGGTTGCATTCATCTTGGCCATTTATGTATGTCTAAATCTCCAATGTTTATTACATATATAGTACTTGGTTATTTTTCCTCTTGTTTTGCTTTGTATTTCTTGTCTTGTTTTATTTTGTCTTGTATTCCCAGTTCATGTACAGTCGTGTCCTGTCCACGTCCTGTTCTTGTTTCTCTAATGAATAGGTTATGGGTTCTGCTTTCTGTTCTGCTCCGGTTCTGGATTCTTCTAGTCTTGTCTTGTTATCTTGTTTGGTGCCTTGTTTCTAGTAATGGATACATATCTGCAGATTATCAAGCTCCTGGGATCCATATAAGCTGCATCAGGGCCTTGGTATGTGGCCGCACAAACCCTGGTGCTCAACACCAGGGGGTGTGTGGTTACCCTGCTCCAGACTCTGATTGTCCATTTCCACACTATAACTCCTACCATCATCAGGCATACAGGAGTCCCCGTCTCTTTTTGCACATTTTTTTTTTTACTTTGGAGGATGGTGCAATACAAGTTTAAGCTGATTGGGTATGGTTACAGCTTGGGTGGGGTTTGGGGCAGTTAACATTATTTACCCTATACTTTGTAGTGAAACAACCAATAAGGTACTAAACTTCCAACATCTCAGCCGATGGGACTATAATCTGTATCTTGCACCAAAGGAAAACAATGTAAAGTTGGAATCTCAGGCACTTAAAGGACCACTATAGGCACCCAGACCACTTCAGCTCAATGAAGTGGTCTGGGTGCCATGTCCCCCTAGTTTTAACCCTGCAGCTGTAAACATAGCAGTTTTAGAGAACATTGAGGGTTAATCCAGCCTCTAGAAGCTGTCTCACTGACAGTCACTAAATGCCGCTTCTGCAATCCTCAATGAGAAAATCGCATTGAACTCACGTTGGACGTCCATAGGAAAGCATTGATTAATGATTTCCTTTGGGCGGCTTGGATGCGCGCGCGGCTCTGGCCACTAATGTACATTCGGAGCTGACGTCAGCAGGGGGAGGAGAGGTCACCAGCGCCGAGGGAGCCAGGTGCTGGATTCAGCCCAGCTGGAGGGGTGCTCTGAAAGAAGGGGGAGACATAATAACCCTATAGTGCCAGAAAAACGAGTTTGTTTTCCTGGCACTATAGTGCTCCTTTAAGTTTTGAACAATAAACCACAACAAAGTAACTGTGATAATAAAAACATAAGAAAAGTACAGTATGGAAGTGAGACCCATTCAACAGATAGAGATAAATGGAACACTTCACACTTGCCATTTAAGTGTGCAGACAATACCATGTGATGAGAGACTGGAAAGGAGATACTCTAAACTCTAAGCACAAAAACTGTTTTAGCTTAAATGGACATTATAGTTACCAAAACAACTTTAGCATATTGAAGCAGTTTTTGTGTATAGATCATGCCACTGAATGTCACTGCTTAATTCACTGCTATTTAGGAGTTAGATCACTTTTGTTTCTGTTTATGCAGCCCTTGTCACACCTCCCCTGGCTGTGACTCACACAGCCTGTATGAAAACAAAATGGTTTCATTTTCAATCAGATGTAACTTACTTTAAAACTGTTTATCTTCTGATCTGAAAATTTAACTTTAATCGTACACCGGAGGCTTCTGCGATGTCTAGCAAGCTATTAACAGAGCCGGAGATGAGAAATTCTAAATTAAACAATTTGTGATAAAGATTAAATGACTCTTTACAGGAAGTGTTTAGGAAGGCTGTGTAAGTCACATGCAGAGATGTATGCCTAGGGCTGTTTAAACAAACTGATTTAACTCATAAATGGCAGAGAATTGAGCAGTGATATTGCAGAGGCATGATCAATACACCAAAACTGCTTAATTAAGGTAAAGTTATATTGGTGACTATAGTGTCTCTTTAAAGATGTTTTATAGATCAGTTACTCTCGTTTAACCCACCTCCCCTGCATGTAAATCACACAGTCACCATGAAAAAGATTTGTTTTTCAATTAGATCTTACAGCAGAGTGTGTTTACTTCAGACGTTCCCCTGGCTCTGTTAATTGACCTTTAATAACACACACGAGTCTCCTGCAGGCTATTAACAAAGTAGGAGATATGGAATTGTAAATTTAGAGTCTTTTTCAGGAAGTGTGAAGGGAGGCAGTGTAAATCACAGGCAGTGGGGTGTGATTAGGACTGCATAAACAAACTGATTTAACTCCTAAATGGCAGAGAATTGAGCAACTAAACTTTGGACCAGGTTCAGTGAACATTATTAAAGTTATAATCTTATAGTGGATAAAAAAATTGCACTAATTACCTATGCACGGTTAAAGGTGCTTGGACACTGCACCCAGACCACTTCAGTGAGTTGAAGTGGTCTGGGTGCCTATAGTGTCATTGTAATGTAGTTGTTCTGATCAGTATAGTCTTTCCCTGCAGGTTTTTTTGCTGTAAACACTGCCTTCCTGGATGGAAGCACCTCTAGCTCTAAACTCTCCCCATAGAGATACATAGAGTCAATGCATCTCTATGAGGAGATGCTGAGTGGCCAATGCAGCCTGTTGCCGCACATGCACGATAGCCTATCAATGTTTTCCTATGGGAAAGCATTGGATTGGCTGAGATGGTCATGATCTCTGCCAAGGGTGTGGAGCGTTGTTGAGCTAGTGCGGCTCTTGAATTAAGTTACGTTTTCTTACATTTTAAGGGGGGCGGGGGGTGCAGGGGGCTAAAATGGGTTTTTAACACTATAGGCAGTTTAAGCACATTTGTATTCCTGACTCAATAGTGTTCCTTTAAACTTGGATCATGGCCTTTCCACCCTATTTGGATTATGCTCTAGGATAGATCTAGGTGAGTGCGGAGAAGGCAATTTTAGCTATGTTTCATGCATGTGGGAGTACATTATAAGAGACCTATATGCAGGTAATAGCCCAAGGCTTTAACCACCTGTCCTCCACATAAAGTTGTCCCCTCAGGTGACAGCTGCAGCAAGGTACACAGGTGATGGTTGTGCTATCGGATCAGAGGCCAGAACACAAGGACGAGGAGACTTCATTGAGCTGAAGTGGTCTGGGTGCTCTTAGTGGTCCTTTAATGCGTCCTCTAAAAAAGGTGCATTGAGATACAAAAACACATGGACTCAGTTTCTTGGTGGAATTCAGGTCCTGAGTAAAATAAGTTCTTTTCCTCTCTTCTCTCTACATACTTTCACCTTAATGTATATCTTTTCTCTTCTCCACTCTCCTTCCTACTCTGCCCATATCTTCCCTATTTCTCTATTTTATTTATCCTCTGCTGGATGAAAGACTATTCCACACTGCACTTTGTACTCAAGGATCCCCATTTCCTTTTTTGATAAACGGTTTACAGTTCCACCTAACTTTTTTGATATGACCTACTTTGTTTGTTATTTTCACCCAGCTATAAAGAAATAAAGTGAAAGTTTGTAAATAATGAATCCACAAAAGATTTATCTATAAAAATAACTTTATTTACAGTCTATGTGCAACATCAACATCAAGCTTCTTCTATCAACTCTTCTCACATAGCTGAGTGATCAGTTTCAGCCCCACTCCAGGTCCTGCTGCTCATCCCATTCGGATGATGTAGGGGGGTGAAGCGATGGGGGCAGCTCACAAAGTGGAGGCCAGCCAGGAGGTAGATGATAGCTGGGAGGTTCAGACATAACAGCACTGTAAAAGAGAAAAAAAAAAAAAAAAGAGGAGAAACATTTGTCAGGATTCAGGATGTTAATCCTGAGCAGCAATGCAAATTTTGGCAGATGATGTTAAAATAAATATGGCTTGCTGGTGGTTACAGAGAGGGCTATTCACTAAATTGAATTGTCAAGAAAGCAACAGTATACCAGACGTTTAAGGCTAAAACACGGCTTAACACATACGTTACTTTTCCACTTCCGGATATTCTTCGCTGAGATGTGCAAAGTAAACTTGTGTTAAATATACATAGCATCTTGATTCTTTTGTATGCACACTGAAAACTGACCATCATGCCTTGAACATTAACTAACAAGACAGCATTTTACCTTGACTCCCCAAAGTCAAACAAGACACGATAAAGGCGCAACAGCCAATGCAGTGTGTTTTCCAAACTATCAGAAGCAGTTTATCTTGTCATAAATAATTGACACCAATCAGTAAACATTAAAAGGGGGCAATGGATCAATCACAATGCTAGAGGGGTGCATTCCAGATCAAAATATCTCCTGTATGGCATTGGTGTGATCCATTTACCGAAAGGTTCATGCAGATTGCTAAAAGGATAGAAGAGAGCATTATTTGATTTAGAAAATCATGTTTTATAAACCATGAGACTTCTTTATTTTTAGATTCTGGGCTAGTGATTTACATATAATAATTAGAGATGTCGCGAACCGTCTGTGAACTTCTCGCGAGCGGTTCGCGGTGAACTCCGGTCAGCTGACACATCTCGGCCAATCTCCAGCAGACCCTCCTACTTCCTGGACAGCATCCATGTTGAAGCCTTCAACATGGATGCTGTCCAGGAAGTAGGAGGGTCTGGGAGGGAGGGTCTGCTGGAGATTGGCCGGGATGTGTCAGCTGACCGGAGTTCGCCACGAACCGTTCGCGACATCTCTAATAATAATACGATACGTGGAGTATTCTTACAATAATTTTTTCTAGGTTTCTTGTTTTATTTCAGGATTGTTTGAAAGCCTGTGATCCCTTATGTGCATAATTGATTATGGATTGAGAATTTGTTTACCACATTTCCCTTTTGCACTCCCATCACAGAGCGCATGTATAATTGCGAGAAAATGTATGTAACAGATCTTGGTCTGATATGAGCCTTAAATGCAAATTAAAACATCCTAGTTACCCCAATAAACATGGCTCATGAGTGAATGGTCATTATTTATAGAACTTTATCTTATATAGACTTTGGTTTGTATTAAGCAATAAATAATATATATTTTTCCTTACTTCGTTTATAAATCAAACACTGTATACAAAGTCCTAGGTGCATAAATAAGTTGACCCTCCCCCCTACAGTAGCAAACTAGATTTGCATTGAGGACACAATACATTATTTATATGCCTTATTCATATTGGGATGAAAAGTCTTTGCTGATAAATGCATTTGGTACCTATATACTTTGCATTTTTGCATCCTTGAACTTATGTAGCAGTTTTTGTTTCTTCAAATGCTCTGCCAGATATTTTATTTCTAAACCACATCCCCTAAACACTTCTTATAGGTTTAATATCACTACATTTCACTTAACTTTTAAAGCGGAGTGAACTGGATATGGGTGCTTGTGATATTATCCATTCATTTTAAAACTACTAAATGGTATACCATGGGTTAACAATAACTGGGCAAATATAACATGTTTTGGAATGTCGTGTACAGCCCCCTTTTAACCCTGCTCAAACATGACTCCTTCCCAGGAGGCATTTACAAAGTGGTGATAAAACGCTTCAACGAGAACCCTCTCTGGAGCTAACATTTAATAAGGTGTTACATTCTCACTGGGAGAACTACATAGCATAACAACAACTATACAGTCTGCGCAGGGTCTGGTTACTGGGAGCATTTTATTACTACTTAGTGAATCTCCATTGAGACTCATCATCACTGAAGCACTGTATCTGAATGCCTTTTGGTTTAATTAATTTGTCGTCAGTTCTATAAATCTTGATCTGCAATGTAATTCTTTTACATGTCTTATATATACACCGGTAGTTAATTAGAATGGCAGTTTTAATTTTGAGATTAACAAGAGCAGTGTAATATGAATTTGAAGAGTTTAGTGAAGAAAATCACCGGAAAGGTAATACAGATTATATAAAAATATCCCATTTAGACATATAAACCTGTATCTACTTCTAGGGAGGTTTAAAAGAGTAGTTTTTTGAGCCATTTTATTGTGAATATCTATTGCAGTCTTTAAAGGGTTAATATGCACATCAAAATTAAGTATAATGTGTTAATTAAATGGTGAGCTAATTTTGAATGGTACAAGGCAATTTCCACAGTGTTTCACAAGAGGGCTTCATAAGAAATATAGGTGTTATTCGATGTGTGTTCAACAATATGTCACTTTTATTTCTGTTATTAAAAATCCCTGGTGGGCCACTATATGAATCAAGAGGAAGTGAAAACACTGTTCTTACATGTTTTAAGAGATCTACAGCCGTTAATGGGATTCTATTTAAATAAAAGAGTGTAAATTGTGTATTTCCCCTATGGGACATGATATAAAATTAAGAGAATTTTTTTATATTTACAAAGTAGGTTGTACAATTCTTGTGTAAGGGAGCAGAATAACCCAAGACTAAGCTTGGAGGCAGGGTTTGCGTCTAACAAACTAAAGGCCTCAATTTCATAAGATATTCAAATGATTCCACACTGTTAGAAAATCTTTCCAAATTATTTATGTACAGAAGTTGCTATTAAAGTCAAATGGAAATCTTTGCAGATGAATTATTTTGAAAGTTTAGTTTTTGCAGTGTTGATTTAATAAACTTTCCAAATGATTCAAGGACTAAAAAGGACAATATAGGCACCCGGACCATTTAATCTCAATGAAGTGGTCTTGGTGCTTTGTTCCTGTTATTCTAACCATGCAACTGACAACACTGCTCTTTTGTAGGAATGACATGTTTTCAATGCAAGCTTAGCATGCCTATAATGACTGTCACATTGACAGCTAGTGGAGGCGCTTCTGCTGCAGTCAGATGATGGAGATCTAAACAGATAAAAAAAACATTAAGGGGGCAGAGCTTGACTGCCAAGGAAGCCAGATGTGCACTGCAAGAGCTCCTGCATTTGGCCCTGATAATTCATGATTTACACCCAGGCCACCCATTAATCAGACCGCAATAAGCACTCATCTTGTCGAAGATTCTTCAGTGCACCGGAGGATACTCGTTGTGAGCCTGTCTGGCACCGGCACATCCCAATTGTGGCTTGCGGCCTACACGAGCCTGAGCTTTGGAGAGACGGTTGCTCTCCTGGCTCCTTTGCTGACAGAGTGGTCCCGGTGAACAATGCTGCCCCCCCCCTCTGGACCGGCGGGGTTATCCCAGTATCCACTGGTTGACACCTCTTTCGACTCTACACAGCTACCACCCCATGACTCTTGATCGCGGCTGACTCACCTAAGATGGCGGACATGCCTCTGCTCAACCAGTCTGGTCTAAAACAGCCCATGGAGACACGAGGAGGCGCTTCTGAATACATGCTGGAGCGCTGCATGCGATCTTTGCTGGCTTCTGGGCCAAACTGGAGGCTCGTATGAGGGCGACACCTAATCAATCTCCTGAGGGAGTGCACCACAAAGGAGCTAGACTACACGCCTGCTGAAGGCCCAGCGGTTTCTGGGAGACATCCTGCTACACGACGCGGCATGTATAAACACCCCCACACAGCCAAGAAAGAGAGAAGGCGCAGGAAGCCACAGTGGCAGGCAACGCTTTTCCAGCATACCCAGCAGCATGGCTGCCACTACCCACCTCAACAACGGAGATCTAGACTCCCTTGGCGGGAACGACATGACCTAGAGGTCGCCCCCTTATGCTGCCAAGTACACAGGAACGTTGGCCCATGGAAGTCACAGCCCTTCCTGTTTCGACGACGCACACAGAAAGAGCAAGAAGTGGAGGCAGAGCCTGGTACCAAGCTATCTCATCTCATTTGGACTCTAAGTGTCCTAGGCTAAGTGTCCTAGGCAGACTCCTACCCAATCCAGTGTAGCCAGTGTGTCAGCCAGTTATATCTTGCTAGCATGTTAGATCTTAAATTGTATTCACTTTTATTTCCTTTGTCTAGAACTTCTTAAAATGATAGCGAACTACCAGATACTCACTCACCCTAGAAGTGCTTAACTAGCCTGTTACAACCTATACACTATCTCATACTATGGAGTTTCATTGGTTAAGTTCAACTTGCTTACATAAAAAAAGAAAAATAGTGCAACTACTTATGCCACTGTATCACCTGTTTATCTTTATGTACGCTGTTGTGGCGTTTGCTAATGACATGTACCTACCCGCAAGAAAAAAAAAACGAAGAAAAAAAACGAACTTTCTTTAATTGGAATGCAGAAAGGGTTGGTGCCATAAAATAGTTTATAGCAGTGGTCCCCAAACTTTTTAGGTTCAAGGCGCCCTTCATATTTCAATGTTTTTCCAAGTCACCACAAGTCAAAACAAATTTCTAGGTTGTACATCTGTACAGAGCTGTGGCATATACTAGAGCTTTAGCATATAATTTACAGTGTTGGTGTTTGTACATAATTTTAGTGTTAATACAGGGGTATGTAATTGCAGAGGTGTGTTTGAATGTAATGTTCGTTTTTAAATGCAGTCACTTCCTCCCAGCCTGGCCAACACTACAGGGGCCTTGTTGTGGTCTTAAGTGACTGGGCCCCTGTTCAGCAGAAATGTTTCCGGGTGCTATAGAGTTTTTGATTCTTTTCATTAATGACAAAGGCACAAGTAGTATCTTCTAAGCAAATTATGCAAATCTCTATATTCACTATATTGAAATTTGTAAGGAACTGACAGGGTATTGCTATTTTTAGGATGAAATAGCGGTAAAATGGTTGTATGATTTTACCAGTCAGGCTACTTTGGGCCAATTCCTAACAGTTCCAACGTTCTCTGAAAAGGATATATTTAAACAGAGCTGCACCAAGTACCAACTATTTAAACTAGGTACTCAAAGCAATGCACTGGATAACCCTCTGAATCTCAAAGGTTACTTAGCTTGAAAATGTATTGACATTTTTTTTTTTTAAATAGATTTGTTAAAATATGATAGGAAGCCAAAAATCTCATAACCCTTTTCATCTACGGCCAACAATATGCCAGAGTATAATCATTTCTTGAAAAGGTACAGTTTGGTAAGTCTTTGTTTAGTGACACTGTCACTATTCTGTTTAGGTAAAGTGGGATTACTATTTGAAACTTTGAAAGCTTTAACTAGAACAAACTACAATGAATGAAGACTTGGCAACACCATCTCTTTACTGGAGTTTATTCACAAAATACCGAACTGGAGTGAATTGAAAACCAAACAGCTGAACGTGTAGATTTTTTTAAATTCTCCAACTGTGCTATAGTCAAGTTTGTTTGTTTTTACTTCAAATTTCATTTTCAACTCACTACAATTGGGTAAATAAACCCAAGTAAATTATTTTTGATTTTCAGCATCAAACGAAGTTAAATTTTGCCAAGGTCTGAAAGACACTATATGGAAAAGTTAACAGGTCTTGTTTGGATGTTGAAATTTCACTCACTGAAAAGGGGTTGCTGCCAAGTGTCTATTTACTCTGTTGTGAAGGACTGAGACAGGAGTCCTATTTGAAGCACGAAATTGGAGTGAATGCCCTCACAGTGCACACCTAGACTATAGCTTCAAAGTACCCAGCTCATTACAAAAAATTTTTTAACCATTATATGACCTAAAACATGTCACATAGGACAGGACAGTTACAAATCAAAGATTTGTCTAATGATCTGCAAAAATAGTAGATGACAGAGAAAGACTTTACTACAGGACATATATTGGCTTTAGTGAACTCCAAGTAAAAAGCATTAAAATTTGCTTAGAAACCACTTAAAGGACACACCAAGCACCAAAACAACAGTAATTTAATTGGTTTTAACGTGTAGATCATGCCTCTGCTGTCTCACTGCTCATTTCTCTGCCATTTAGGCGTTATATCACTTTAGTTATGCACCCCAGCCACACCTCCCCTGGCGGTGACTCACAAAGCCTGCATAAATAAAAGGTTTAATTTTCATTCGGAAATTATAGCACAGTGTATGAATTTTAATCTCACACACACTCACGGAACTGTTGCAGACTCAAGAAAACCCATCAACAGAGTACAAAATAAGAAATTCTAATTAAAATACACTGATCAATAAAGGAAACAAAAAAATAAAATAAAATAAAAAGGGACTTTTTTAGAGGATGTTTGTAAGGAGATTGTGTGAGTCTCAGACAGGACTAGCGCTGCACAAACAAAGTGATGTAACTAAAAGATGGCAGATAATTGAGCAGTGAGACTGCAGGGGCATAATCTACACCCCCAAATCACTTCATTAAAGGCTCACTATAGACACCCAGACCACTTCAGCTCATTAAAGGGGTCAGGGTGCGGTGTCCCAGGACCCTTAACCTTGCAAAGATAATTATTCCAGTTGTTAATAAACTGTAATAATTTACCTTTAAGGGTAACCTCAACCTCTAGTGGCTGTCTACCAGACTGTGACAGAGGCAGACACTATAGGGAGATATAGTGCCAGGAAAACTTTATATATTTTCTCTTTAAGGTAAAGTCATATTGGTGCTTAGCATGCCTATTTACAGGCAGTGGAGATAAATACAATAAATACAATACACACACACACACTTTATGCAACTGAATGAAAAGGAGTTATTTATTTATTTGGCAAAAAGCATAATCTGCACGGACAGCCAATTAAAAAAACAAAAAAGGACATCAGAGATATAAAAACCTTTTACAATTACCATTAGCAGCAAGGACATCCAGCAAAATATGCAAAAGACTAAGTCATGCCTGCAAGTTATATTTAGGAAGCAGACTTTAATTATGTGATTTAGTTTAAGAAGCTCCCCCTGGTGGACTTACTTTTCATTGTGTCTAATCTTTCTCTTAGCTCTCTCTTCTAGCCAGCTCTCTATTGTGCACGGGGGAGCTTGTCTACTCTGCTCCTCTTTCATCTTCTTTTCCGCTGTGAAAAAAAAAAAGTGTAAAACAAAACTCAAATTCTCAGCACCGTAAATACAAGAAACAAAAAAAAAAAAAAAAACCACACAGATACTACCGGTCCATCATGCTGACTGGTCACAGCTACAGAAGCTAATGGTTTGAGAAGCCATTGGCCACTCCATATGCCTACTTGATGCGTTGCGTAACGCTTTATGTTTTATTATTTTGTGTTGGATAACCTATTCCTTGTCCTCCTCCAATCTGCTGCATTAACCAAACCATCTCCTTGGTCATCATGCCGATCACTGATTTTTACTGCAGCCGTCAGGTAGATGAGTGTGAGTGGGGATTTCAGCTGTATTCTGTTCCTACTACATTAGTAATAAGAGGCTTTTTGAGACTTTTCTAAGGAAACTCTGTCTGAGATAAACTACCATCTATGCAGAACTTACCTTTTGGCTTTACACCAGAGGAACACACAACTCATAGCCATCCACTCTACAGTACCGGTCATGCTTCCCAAGATGCGGCTAAAATAGCTACACATTCATCCTCTTCCTAGGTGTCCCCTTGCTCTCTTATGCATGGAGGGTAACTGCCCCAGATGAGAAGATACATTGGCTCTGAATAATCATCTTCAACTTACATTGGAGCTAAGCTGTGGGTCAAAGGACTCCATCAAGGGCAGACCAAAATAAAAGGAGGCCAGCCCTGACCTGTCATGCAGCACATCATTATCAGGTGACATTTATGTCAGCCATCTATGCCTCTCCAAAGGTTTAAGAGGGACTCCCCTTGTTTGCTTCCATTATTCCAACACTCACTTCACCACAGGACTATTTCCCTCAATACACTGACAACCTTACTAAAACATACAAGCATGCAGATAATCCTACAGTTTGTAATCTCAATAAAGCTTCTCAGTTGCATTACTGCTTGCACAGTTCTAATTCAAGCGTGTAATTGCTATATGCTTATCATATAATGCAAGCGATGTTACTAGAGGCACAAACTGAAATTGGACCTCTTCGACCATAATCACTGAAACAGAGTTAAAAACTATGTGAAAAGTTCAAGATTTATTAATGTATGTAAGTGTAGAATACTTCCTACCCCCTATACCTATAGCTTTCACTGGAATAACAAACAGTAAGAACATTTCTCATCACTTAAAGTATCATTTACACAAGCAAACTGCAGATTAATTTAAAATGAAGGGATGACAAATGTACCATAGGACTTGAAATTAAGCTATGCTCTACAAAGTCCAGTGAACTCACTAATTTGCTAAAAAACAACTTCAAAGCTCACAGAATTTAACAGTTTCTTGAAGAAGACCTAATTTATGAAAAAATAACGGAGGTTTAGTTAAATTATATATATTGCAACAATGGACGCAATGCTTCTCTATAAGAAGCATTTGATTGGATAAAGGTCATTAAGCTTGATGATCTCATAGTGGACAAACACAGCTGTTGTAAGGAGACTGTCTCAGGGCTTGATTACAGCGAAGTTTAATAGCATTTTATTTTTATTTTTTACATGCAGCATCTAGTTGAGAGAAGAAAAAAAACACAAAAACAAAAAAAACACTCATTTGATTTCTATGACAACGTCTGCTGGAAAATTTGGTGCTGGCCTGTTCTGTGATGGTTTCAGGGGTTTTATTGACAACACTTGTGAAATCTATAATCAGACGTGTTTAGGTAAGATGCATACCATTTATTTGTGACTGATAAAATAAACGTGTAGCCAAATTCCCATAAGTGAGACTCTGGTTTTGGTTTGCTTTTTCTCAACATGTTGAAGAAATCTGAAATCTTATCATGGCTACAAAAAATAAAAATGATACTATATAAAACTATTGGGGCAATCTGTAACAATTACTTAGCCTGTTCCATTTTTAAATAGTTGTCAACCAATCATATTTTTACCATGACTAGTTACACTGCCCCCTATGTAGGGTGTTTTACTACTGGGACTTACAGATAGCTAAAACTACCACGGCAAAACTTAGAGTAGACTAATATGTTCACTCATAATTGTATCCAAACAATTAAAAAGAGTGGCATGAAGCCATATTGATGTTGTCAACTGTGGGAACAACAAATATAAGAGCAAATGATTCAGTAGCGAAGAATTGAATAAATGGGAGGTAAGTGATGAAGAGTGTACGAAAAGAAGGATTAACACTTTTTTTTATGTTAAGGCGTGACATGTGCAGATGGATATACTGATTGTGACATTAGCATTCCAAATTAGTTGAAGTGGGATGACATTGTATTGCAGACCAAACAAGGGAGTTACTGTAGTCAATCTGTTAAAGATGAGATAGTGTGTACATTATTCCATGAAAGCAGTTTTAAAAGGAAAGATCTTTCTTAAGAGAATGAAATGATAGGTGAAGGTAATGTACAATATTGCTTTACCAGAGGAGGAAGGAGAAATAAATTTTTATAATTTGTAAGCAAATGGACGATGAAAAGGTTAAGAGTGGGATGAGTGTAGAGAGTAACTTCGTGTAGGACTATGTTTAGCCTAACAAAGCATAACAATATGAAGGAGATATTAAAGGGACTGGAAGATTTATAGAAGTAGATGTCACTGCTGAAGAATGGAAAGTGGATGATCTAAATGTCATCCACGCAAAGCCATAAGGGAAGATATGGTTGCATAAAAGGGCACAAAATGAAAACATTGTAATAGCTTAGTTCCTGGATATGAAATGCATTCTACTTCTGTTGTTCTACATCCTATAATGTAACCATATGTTATGATGGTTTCTTTTATTTATTGGCATTTGGGAATCAGCACTTCAATTATGTTGTCAATAAGAAGCCTCTTGCTAATTGTATCTTTATCTTGTAACCCCCAAAGCTGATTTTTATTTTTTTTAATCCACCTTGAGGTGCCCTCCCTGGTGAGTGAAGGAATGGTATGATGGAATCATTAGGTACAATATGATGAATAGGGAAATTGAAGAGCCACACAATTGAATAGTACTTTCTACACTTTATGATGGGGTAGTATAGAGCATTAACTGTAAAGGGACTCTCTGGGCACCAAAACCACTTCATATTAATGAAGTGGTTTTGGTTCATAGGCACCATTCCTTTGTCAGGCAATGAAAACATTGTCAATTCTCAGAAAGAGAAATGTTTATGTGTGTCAGACTTAGAGCCACTAAAGGCTATTTCTCCCCTAGACTTTTGATTTTCAAAGGTTTTTATGTCTGGCATAACTCTCAGCGTGTTGATTCCAAATGCGTCCAACGCATTTCAGAGTAATCATAGCAATCTAATCATTAACTGAAACACTAATGTAAAAATAGATTATATATTTTATGTTGCTATATTTCTTTAGGTACAAATCTACTAGGTACTTATGAACATGAAACAAAATAATAAGACAAAAAAGAAAGATATTTTACAAACCTTCCACATGAGCTTTTAGAGCATCCAATTCCTGAACTGACATATGCGAAAAGCGACACCCAGGACCAAAGTCACACTGACCTGAAAGAATGAAGTCATGTCTTACAACTGCTCTACAAAATGATGTCCACCGAACAAAAAAAATTAAACCTTTGTGTAAAAATAAATAATTGATATGTTTGTTAGCAAATATATATGTACCCTTAAAGGGATTATATTTATATATATATTTACAATAGAGTGAGCAAAACATTGAGTTCAGTTACTAAACAAACACAGCTTGCTTGGCAATTTGACTTATTTTATGTAAAAGAAAAAACTAAACAACTTGGTTAAAAGTAAATTATATTGACCAATATTTAAATTCTAAGGTAAATTAATGCAGCACTGGTCATGGCCGAATACTGTTTTTGTTTTGTATTTTAGCCCCCCCCCAACTCTACACCTAATTTTCTCCCAAGTTACCCCCAAATGTCACTAAGCCCTATTTTACCTAATTTTTTAATCTTTATTTTCTCTTTTTATTTTAGTTTCAAAGTTCGACGGATATTATGGATTTTTATTTGGCCTTTTTTGGGGCTGAAAAAATAAGGTTTTTAGAAAAAAAGAAGATATCAAATGGTAAGTTTGTTTTCTTTACAGTCATTTAGTTTTATTGTTCCCCCCTCGCTATTTTTAGGGTGAGGGATGTAGGTAGGAATTTATTAAAAAAAATTTGGGTGGTTTGGGAACCCCTATTAACCTGGAGGGGAGTTATATTTAGCCAGGCGGCAGGAAAATAGCCCCCGCCCCCTACCCTATTGGAATTTAGGCCCCCCCCACTCATGGGTGGGGGCCGAGGGGGAAGAACAATAGGGCCCCTCATTTACATTTAGGTCCCCTCATTTACATTTAGGTCCCCACCAGCCGCTCATGGGTGAGGGCGGGAGAAGACAATAGGTCACCCCCCATTTTCTATTAAGGCCCCAACCGATGCAGGGGGGGCTATGTTCCCCTTCAGTTTAAAAGCCCCCACTTGCGCGGCTCATGAGAGGGAACACTAGTTTTTTTGGGGGTGAGTGGGGGGTTTACAACAGTGAGCAGCCACAGGCTGCTCATTGTTTACTAGATATGCCCCTACTCACGATATAGCGATATAATCTTTACTTGGTATTAGTAAATTTGGCTGAAAGACTGGGTAGATAGCTCCCTCATACCGTGGGAATTATGGAGTTATCTACTAAACGACTGCAAGATGCAGCCACGGCACGAATCTGATCGGAATTTCATTCATTCAAATGAAATTCCGATTCGTACAAAGTCCCGAATTGTGTCTTAACACAAATTAGATATTCGTTAGTTTTGCCGGCATTCTGTCTACATGATAGGATGTTTGGGAATACTGACAGGAAGCATCGCAAGATCACGGAGGAAAAGTAAGAATTGTGGGGAAATTTCTCTGACCATAGGAAATGAAGCACACTTTGCTCCTCTGCTGGTCAGAGATGGTCAGGCGTAGGAAACCTCCATAAGACAAAGTAGTCCCTACTTTGTCTTATGTTTTAAAGAAAACTAGAGCAGACAGGAAGAAATGAAGAAAAGATCCTGACAGAAGGAGAGAAGAGGAATCGATTAAAGAAAGGAAAGGTTGGGGGCGGAGCCTGGCTGTGGAGCTGATCAGACGTGGTTAGCACGAGCTCCCGTCTGAAACTACAACTAATGCCAAATAACCCGGCTAACAAGCTACAAACTCCGTTAAAATTGCACCACCCATGTAGAGGATGCAAAGGAGATTGCAATGAAACCGCAAGTACGACTCTAAGACACCGGGAACTCGAGATATATCGCTGGGGCCTACTGCGACGCTTAGACCTGCAACCTGGGTAGAGACAAAGGCGAGGGTGAGGCGGCCGATCACCCAGCCCGAGACTCCCTAGAAACGGACCCTAAAGCTGCAGAGGACCACCCACGAGCCTCCCTCTCCCCCCCCTTGCCGGTGAGGGATATCCCGGCACCAACAGCATACCGAGTGTCTGCCCCAAAGACTACCCGACCCAAGGACCACCGACTCCAATATGGCGGATGCCACGTGCCTATCGGCAGTTACGGGGGCCAGCGGAGATCCAGCGACTCACTCTCTGTCCAAACTCGACGAAATATTTGCTGCCTTCTGGGCTAAGATAACAGAGAGACAGCTGCACACTGCTTCAACTATGCTGACCACTCCTGCAAATATACCCCCAGAGACCTCCAGCCCTACGAGTGGACGCAGAACGGTCACTACCGGAGGCTCCGCTAAGAGGCGCAGACGGCGGCACCGGCAGAACAAGCGGCAACGAAGAGCCAGATCTCAACCCCACACTCACCTCCGCTTCAAGCGACCACGACTCCGGACGGGTGCCGAAGCGACCTGCCCAACAGGGAAGCGCCAACCCCCCCAACATGCAAACCTCTATCACCAAGGGTCGGAAGCATGGCTTCTACACGCACGCATGTCCTTGACACCACAGGGGATGGCGACTCCCAGGGGCTACAGGGCGAGCCCAGAGGGGATCGGATGAAGGTGACCGGGACAATTGTCAGGCATATCGCTGGACTTCCCCGACTATGCCCCCTGACGCACAAACTGCTTTCTGATTGCTGACTTAACTTAAAGTAACGACCATTAATCTGTTATACCCATACCTTTTGCTGAGGGATTGTCAAGTAATATTTTAAGTACTAGCTAACACAATCTAATGGGGCATCCTAAGCATAGTTAAAACTCACTTGATGGCTGTTGGTTTACCTGCATGAGAACACACTAGCAACTATGAATCTTTATACACCTTCTCACACATAGACGTAAAAGGAAGTTTGCAATATACATGCTTGTCCTAGTATAATCTGTGTGAAAATATGCTCCAACATGATAATCTTCAACATATATATAACTACATAAAATTGTGCATTGTTAGCATATACCCCTGTTATGAATGTTTTGAAATGAGCACGTGGAATGCCGTCGGGGTACCACCTGCATGCTTGTTATACATATATGCACTGAAAAAATAAAAAATTTAAAAAAAAAAGAAAGAAAGGAAAGGTTGGCATGACAGTGCCGCTTTAAACACTAAAGTAAATGTCTTCAAATCTTTCAAATAAGAAAAAAAGATTCCACACCTATAAAAACAACAAAATAATATATGATCATATAAAGATTTCAGTATATTAAGACATTAAACATTTTTTGCAATCAGTTATTAGATTTTTTTGTTGAATCTAGATAAACCAACAATTAATGCTACTTTACTTACAATGTTCCTATAAAAAGGAATAAATCTGTCTCCTTCCTGAATGTTAAATGTGTGGTAGATGGTTAGTATGTGAAGAGTATTGTTGTGCGATATGTATGGCTGTGGACATCAACTAACCAGGTATTTAAATTATAGCTTGTAATCAGTAAGAGGACATAATCTTATGTGAGCACAAATATATGGTCAGTGCACACCACAGACTGGAATGCATACTATATATTCAGCCACATGAATAGGTTACATCCCATGTCTGAGGAGCCGGAAGAGACACACAGTGCTTACCAGACTGGATAAATCGCCTGCACAACTTCTTTGTCTGTTCTTCTGCCAAGATCTCGGACGCATCTGGAGAATTACACAAAGCAGAAGACTGATTACAGACATATTACCACAAACCCTATATTTGCAACAAGAATAGCTTTCCAGAACTAGGTTAGCTCTGGCAAACGGCTGACTACATTTCCTATGATCCTTCAGCAATCAATAACCATTTTTCTGAAGGTGTTTGTATAGCTGAACACCATGAGAAACAGCCAAAGCACAGTCCTAGCAATCAGCCATTTCTGCAGCAGACACAGCAGCTGTAGTAACACTGTGTTTAGGCCAAGGCCCTGATACTGGATACAGAAACATAGAATGTGACGGTACATAAGAACGATTTAGCCCATCTAGTCTGCTCAATTTTCTAAATACTTTCATTACTCCCTGGCCTTATCTTATATCTAGGATAAGCTTCTGCCTATCCCACGCATGCTTAAACGCCTTTACGGTGTTAACCTGAACCATTTCAGCTGGAAGGCTATTCCATGCATCCACTACCCTCTCAGTAAAGTAATACTTCCTGCTATTGTTTAAACCTTTGCCGCTCTAATTTAAGACTATGTCCTCTTATTTTTCGTCTTTTCAATACACTCTCCTCCTTTACTGTGCTGATTCCCTTTATGTATTTAAATGTTTCTATCATATCCCCCCTGTCTCGTCTTTTTCTCCAAACTATACATGGTAAGATCCTCAACATTTCCTGCAATCTATGAACCAGTTTAGTAGCCCTTCTCTAATATCCTTTTGGAGATACGGTCTCCAGTACTGCATGCAATACTTCAAGTGAGGTCTCACCAGTGTTCTGTGCAATGGCATGACCACTTCCCTCTTTCTACTGCTAATACCTCTCCCTATACAACTAAGCATTCTGCATGCATCACATACCATTAGGTCCCTGGTATCTAAAACTGGCTGTATACCAGCAGCTCTCCCATACTGGCTGTATACCAGCAGCTCTCCCACACTGGCTGTATACCAGCAGCTCTCCCACACTGGCTGTATACCAGCAGCTCTCCCACACTGGCTGTATACCAGCAGCTCTCCCATACTGGCTGTATACCAGCAGCTCTCCCATACTGGCTGTATACCAGCAGCTCTCCCATACTGGCTGTATACCAGCAGCTCTCCCATACTGGCTGTATACCAGCAGCTCTCCCATACTGGCTGTATGCCAGCAGCTCTCCCATACTGGCTGTATGCCAGCAGCTCTCCCATACTGGCTGTATGCCAGCAGCTCTCCCATACTGGCTGTATGCCAGCAGCTCTCCCATACTGGCTGTATGCCAGCAGCTCTCCCATACTGGCTGTATGCCAGCAGCTCTCCCACACTGGCTGTATACCAGCAGCTCTCCCACACTGGCTGTATACCAGCAGCTCTCCCACACTGGCTGTATACCAGCAGCTCTCCCACACTGGCTTTATACCAGCAGCTCTCCCACACTGGCTGTATACCAGCAGCTCTCCCACACTGGCTGTATACCAGCAGCTCTCCCACACTGGCTGTATACCAGCAGCTCTCCCACACTGGCTGTATACCAGCAGCTCTCCCACACTGGCTGTATACCAGCAGCTCTCCCACACTGGCTGTATACCAGCAGCTCTCCCACACTGGCTGTATACCAGCAGCTCTCCCACACTGGCTGTATAGCAGCAGCTCTCCCATACTGGCTGTATACCAGCAGCTCTCCCACACTGGCTGTATAGCAGCAGCTCTCCCACACTGGCTGTATAGCAGCAGCTCTCCCATACTGGCTGTATAGCAGCAGCTCTCCCATACTGGCTGTATACCAGCAGCTCTCCCACACTGGCTGTATAGCAGCAGCTCTCCCATACTGGCTGTATTTGCTCACCTCTGTACAGGTCATACCAAGCCTTCTTGCAGCGCTGGTGCTGGACGCCATTCAGGTGTTTCTTGCGGTTGTGCAGGTTATCCTGGAAGCTGCGGTCACAGTAATCACAGAGATACCTCCTGCCCATGGCGAGTGCTCCCCGTTACCAGGATAACCACTGCTCAGCCAACACAGAGAGCATGCGCACGGGAGAGCTCTTGTCATGTGACCGGAAGTCGTCCTAGAGCGAGGCATTTCCTTTGCCCTGGTGCCGGTGTTCTATCAGTTTGCTATACCACGTCACTTCCGGGGAGGGGAATCAGCTGTCTCCTGTGCTGCACATGCGTGCTAGCATTCCTGCTACTCCTCCACAGCAAGGTCCTGGAAGGTAAGTAAAACTAGTTTTACACTTTCATTATAGTTAGTGCATTCACTAAGCTTAGGACATGGGACATTTAGGGTTAATGTTAGGGTTCAAATTAGGATTAGGGACTTGTTCATATTTAGTGATATTTCACATTAGGGGAATATCACTAAATTGTGCTTTTTCACACTTTATTTTAACCCTTACCCCCAAGGGTTAGAATCACTTACCTAACCCTAATTTGAACCCTCACTTAACACTAAATGCCCCATGTCCTAAGCTTAGTGAATGCACTAACTATAATGAAAGTGTAAAACTAGTTTTACTTACCTTCCAGGACCTTGCTGTGGAGGAGTAGCAGGAATGCTAGCACGCATGTGCAGCACAGGAAATTTGATGGAGCACCGGAAGTGACGCAGTAGGTGTGCGTCTTCGTGCTGCCAGCGGTCGTGCAGAATGGCGCTGAGCTCGCTCTACCGGTCTCTGTTCCGCCGGACATCCACCTTCACGCTGACCATCGTGCTCGGGGCCGTGCTGTTCGAGCGGGCCTTCGACCAGGGAGCGGATGCTTTATACAGTCACCTAAACCAAGGGGTGAGTACGGCGGCCAAGGACACAGAGGGGTCATCGGTAGCACAGACATGGCTGGACCGGGAGTAACCGGGAAACGGGGGGCGGGGGGGGATTACAGCAGGGCAGGCACGGAGTCCTCTGGAGGGGCGTGCGGTCACACCGTGCTTAACCCGCTTTATGCTGGCTGGATAGCAGGTGTAGCCGGGACGGTGACAGACTGGGGGTGACAGGCGGTAATATCACATTAAACACAATGACACGGTTAGTGTTTCCACACGTGGCTTCCTTACAATATCCACTGTTTTCAATTGTTGCTCGTACTCTAGCACCTTGCAGCAGTTACACTCATCATAGTGAATGGCTAAAACGAGCTTTCTGTCCAGGTTTAAACATGGAACTAATTTATATGTAATATCGTAAAGCATTATATATCTCAACCAGAATACATTGTTATGGAAAATGCAAGTGCACATAAGGGAATAAAAAGATGCAAATTGAGAAATACTATTTAAAAAAAAAAAAAGTGAATGCAACTCTTTTTATACATCTCCTGTAACGATGAGCTCTGGCTTCTACACAGTAAACTAGATAGGAAGCTGTATACAAAGTATGCCGTTACAAGGACTACATGGGGCTTTTATATTATGGTATATTATTTTATTTTTTACTGTAAAGATCATAGGTTGTTATCGTGCTTTTAGTGTTCCTTTTAAACTCGTAAGGAATTGGATACCTTGGATTTCTGTATGGGGAGTTAAATAAGGGTGTAAACATTAAAAAAACTTTTTTATATATATTTTTTTTTTAAGTACACATTAAAGCTTTAAAGGGACATGATATGCACAAAAAAACAACTTTTGGAGAGCAAAAAATGGGTCGCAAGAGTATTCTGAGAACAGACAGCAGCTAAAATAGCCTGCCCTTCGGTGGGTCCCCGCTCAGAACTCAAGCTGGTTTTAGCTCACCTTGTGCCATTACAGAGAGAACATATCTGAAGCATATCAGACTGGTCCCACCCATACAGGCAGTCCAGATCCGAAATGCCAGCAAGTTCTCTCTGCACGAGAGATACAGCAACCTCAGATGATCGTTTCAGCCCGTTCTCAGTATTCTCTTGCGACCCATTTTTGACTCTCCAAAAAACAACTAGCTCATGTAAATCTTTAGATCATGCTCTTGCAGTCTCACTGCTCAGTTCTTTGTCATATATATTTACATTTATTTATTTTTTTATGCAGCCCTAGACACACCACCTTGCATGTGACTTATACATCCTTCTTAAACACTTCTTGTAAATGTTGAAACCTCTTTATTTCTAATTCTGTTTAATCTCGAATTTCTTATCTCATTCTCTGTTAATAGCCACACTACATGCTTCCTGTAAAGCTGCTCAATTATTTTTTTTGATTGGTGTTAAATTGCTTTGTAGAGCCTGCAGCGAGGATAGTGATGAAACACTCATTCATTAATGCTCAATAACTCTTTTAAACATTATTCTTTATTATCCCTGATGTAAAAGCTGTTTTCGTTTGAATTTTGTGGTGTAAATACACTGTGAAAGAATGGGGATGATTACTATTTTTTATTTTTTAATAGAAATTGTGGGAACACATCAAACACAAATATGAGCAAGAAGAATAACGTTGCAGTGACAAGTGTATGGATCCTCCTGTACTGAACTGCATGTGCCTGCTGTTCAAACAAGTATGGCAGAGAGGTTGAAAATTACAGACTTGATTCCTGCATCTTGGCAGATGTCGTCCTTTGTGTATTTATCGTGCTTAAAATATACACCTGTTTAATAAAATACCTATTTAACAACAAAATTTGGAGTGCTTGTACTTGACATCAATTGTTTTGTGTTTAAAATTTCCATCTCATTGTTTTATACTTAAAGGGACACTATAGTCACCAGCACAACTACAGCTTAATGTAGTTGTTCTGGTGAGTATTCCCATTACCTGCATGCATTTTTATGCAAACACTATATTTTCAGAGAAAAGGCAGTGTTTACATTGCCCCCTAGGGACACCTCCAGTGACGACTGGATGTGCTTCATGGGGCTGTGTTGCCGTTCAACGTTTCCATGCTCTGCATGGAGACGCTGATTGGCCAAAATAGCCTTTAGCCGCTCCTTCCCGATAGGGATTGGCTAAAAATAAGAGATTCTGATGTCACCAAGGAGGCTGATTGTGGCGGGGCAAGTGCTGGAAATAAGGTAAGTTTTATGCCCTTCTAAGGGGGGGGAGCAAGTCACCTAAATGGTGGAATAAACACCATAGGTCAGGAATACATGTTTGTGTTCCTTTAAGCATATGGAATGTGTTTTACTTATCAAAAAAGTTCTTCACACCTCAAAGTTGTGAGCATACACAAAATTTAGCATAAATCATGTAACCAGGGACCTTTTATTGCTTCCAACTGTGTCTATCAGTCTGTTCTCTTTCAGGCATGATAGTTGGTGTTTTTAGATTTTAGCAGTTTTTAGGATACCATCAGATTCTTCCTCCTGGTCTCTGACAAGGACTATGTAACCTGTAGTTTTGGTGGTAGATAAAAGGGGTTAAATGTACTTTAGCACTACACTCTGCATTTTTTGTGTCATTATAGTAACCCTGGAAAGGAAGGGCCAGAGAAAAGTTGGGTGGAAAAAAAAATTAAAGTACCCATGCAGCTGCCAGTTTGTCCCTGTAAATGTTTGGTGCATTAAAATGTTCCATGCAGATGGTGGACTCACCAGAATCATCTGAGGAAGGTTTGAATGGCCTATATTGGATTGTCTGTCACACAAGTTGGGACACTCACTTGAACTAGTGGAAACCATTATCTGCTTGTGTTTCTTCCAATCTGCTGTCAGTAAGAGCAACCTACCTTACTCTTCTATATTTCAGGACATTTTTGCAAAACAATGGTTAAAGTTATAAATAGACAAAACTACTACTGTCATGCATCAACAAGTGAACAGGAACAAAAATGGCTGTTAAATCCTTTAAAAGGGGAATCCAGTCCAGAGGTACAGCAGTGGGGGGGGAGGTGTGTGTGTATGTATATATATATATATATATATATATATATTGAGAGAGAGATCAGCTATATACACACCAGGAAAGGTACATTCAGATTACTCTGGCTATCAAGTAAGTCCTGATGATGTTACGAATTCCCAATTTAATGGTACTTATTTTATGTACCTCGGAAGGATGAAGTGCTGAGTCAACCTGCACAAATGTGATAATTCAGGATCAATTTTAAATTTAAAAATAGCTGAACTAGTATAATTCTCTAAATCAGCTAAACTTTCAGTACAGCTAATCTGGCCTTGAATTTAAAATTCCCTTACAATTTACACATTTGCAGATAACTGTATGGTTTTCTGTGCAGAATGAAGCAGGAAAGACCACAGAGGCTAATTAAGCCAGCCATATGTAATATGTATATACATCCGCTTGGTGGGAGTGCTGAAAAGGTAGACCCCCCAGATGTTGTAGAACTAAAACTCCCATGTGGCTTTGTATATCTTAAGAATGGCAAAGCAACATGGAAGTTGTGATTAACTCTGATGATGTCAGCCAAGGAGGCAGATCCAGCACCACCAGACTGATGTAATGGTAAGATTTTTCTATATTTTTAGGTTCACATGGGGTCTAGATAATTTACCACTATAGGGTCAGGAATGCATATTTGTGTTCCTGACCCTATAGTGTTCCTTTAAGTATATTGATACATATTATTTACCAGACTCTCTGTTTAGTGGAGCTTTTCTTTCTTTGTTTAGAATTTGCTTAATGGTTAAGCCCTAGATCAAGCATGTCAAACTCATGGCCCACAATGGACATCTTTGTGGCCCGGCAAGCCGCGAGTACATGCTTGGTGTTAAAGCAGCGTAGGCACCTGCATTCTAAAACTTACCTGGCCGGGAGGAGGGCCAGCGAGGGAGCTTAGTGTTCCTGGTCCCTCGCGCGCTGTCTGTAGTGAAGCCGGGCACCGAAATATAACATCATATTCCGGCACCCGGCATCACTAAACTGCGCGTGAGGAGCAGATAGATGATCCCCACTGGACCCCAGGGAGAGGCCCCACATCAGCTCCCAAAGGTAGGTAGCAATAAAGAAAATGTTTGTGCAAGAATGTGTGTGTGTGTTTTGGTCAGTGTTGCATTGGCTGCGACTAGACAGTGGAGTACCTGGAGGTGCATGGAGGCGGTGCCACGTCACATTCCGATGTGACAACGACGTGCTCCCTCCTTCACAGGGTTTCAAGGAGTAGCGGGAGGATCAGATGTGGCACAGGGTGCGGACGGCGCCATTTGGGGTATACCAGAGGCCGGACTCCGGAATCGCATACTGGCAGTGGCAATGTGAGTGGAGTCTGCTTGTTGGCTAGACGGTGGTGCTGGGATTTAGTAAGGGGGGGGGATGTGTTTTTTTTTTATAATGTACTTTTCAAAATAAACCTATGTTTCTATGAAAAACAGTAATTTTACTAACTGGAAATTCCTTTTTTCTTCGTATAGTGGCAGTACTTACAAGTGAGATGTTCCTTCTAGGTTGGACAAGAAGCTCCCCCTTCGTAAAAGATAATTGTTGTGCCCCGTCTGCTGCCTCTATATAATCTGTAATTCAGAGGAAAACTCCAGTAATACAAAATAACCAAACGGAGACTGAATACTGCAAAAGTAATTTAATCCATACAAAATAGGAGGGAAAGTCAGTACTGCCACTATACTAAGAAAAAAGGAATTTACGGTAAGTAAAATTGCTGTTTTTCCTCTCGTATAGTGGTAGTACTTACAAGTGGGATATAGCAAGATCCCTGCAAAACAAACAAAAGGGTGGGGATTTAGGCGGCTACAGCCTATAGCACCTTACGCCCAAAAGCAGCTTCAGAGGATGAGAATATGTCCAGCCTATAATGTTTAATAAAGGTATGCAATGAAGACCAAGTAGCTGCTTTGCAGATGTCATCAGGTGAGGCAGCTGCTTTTTCTGCCCAGGAAGTTGCCATAGCCCTAGTGGAATGGGCCTTCAACGGAAATCCCAACGGAGTCCCTTTGGCTTGATAAACTAACTTAATGGTATTAGTCAGCCATCTGGATAAAGAGGGCCTGGAGGCAGAACAACCCCTGTTAGTGCCTTGAAAGTAGACAAAAAGAGTGATCCGAGGTCCTAAAACCTTGAGTTCTCTGAAGGTAAATCTTAAGGGCTCTTCTAACATCAAGGAGATGCCACTTTCTTTCCAGATCCAATGAAGGAGACTGGCTGGAGGAAGGCAGAATAATAGGTTGGTTCAAAGAAGAACTCGAAAGTACTTTGGGCAAAAAAGAAGGCCTGGGGTGCAGGACAACATTGTCTTGATGAAAAACAGTGAATTCAGGAACGGAAGATAGAGCCTGAATTTCACCTATCCTCCTGGCTGAGGTGATAGCCACTAGGAATGTCTTGAAGGGAAGAAGTTTTATGGGAACCTCCAGTCATGGTTCAAACGGTGGTTCACAAAGGGCTTGAAGAACCAATGATAAATCCCAGGTATGGAAAGGAGATAACTTTGGAGTGCGCTTCAGCCGTATGGATTTAACAAATGTGTGGATAAGCAAGTCTGAGGCAATGTCACAAACCAGGAAGTGACAGTGCTGAGATCTGGCCCTTGAGTGTAGAGACCCCTAGGCCAGACTCAAAACCGGTACTGATGCATTGGTAGGATCTGAACCCCGAATGAAGCACCAGGACCTGAACTTCATAAACACCCTGAAATAAATTCTTGCCGTTGACAAGCGGAACGAAGACAGAAGAACTTCACACAAGCGGTATGAAAGGCCTTGGTCTTGGAGGATCAACCTTGCAGCAGCCATGCCGTCAGGTGGAACATTTCCAGGGTTTCTATGGGAAGAGTCACCTGCTCTATTATGTTGGTAGAGATCGGGATAGACCAACATGAGATTGTCATGTTTTCCACTTCTGAAAACCAACTTCTGTTCGGCCAGAAGGGCAGGATGGCTAGAATTCTTGCCTTCTCCCATCTTATCTTCTGAACAATTCTTGGAATAAGCGCTATTGAAGGGAAAACATAAGCCATGTTGTAGTTCCAAGTGATCGATAGGCCGTCTAAGACGTCTGGGCAATTTCTTGTTTGGAGAGAAGCAAAAGTCTGAACTTTTCTGTTTCTCCTCGTGGCGATCAGATCTATATCAGGACGGCCGAAGCGGGTGACCAACTCCAAGAAAATTTGGTTTGATAGTGACCAGTCTGCCTGAGACCATTGATGCCTGCTGAGGTCGTCTGCGATTATGTTCAGAGACCTTCTGATATGAGTAGCCAAGATCGCGACAAGTCTTGATTGGGCCCAAGACATGATGCGGTAGCATAGGTCTTGTAGAGCTTTCACCCTTGTGCCACCTTGGCGATTTACATAAACCACTGTAGTGGCGTTGTCCGACTGGATCCTTACAGCCTGATTGACGTTAACTGAACTGAAAGATTTTAGTGCCTTCCAAACTGTTTTCAACTCTCTGAAGTTTGAGGAAGCGGTTGCCTCTTCCCTGTTCCAAATACCTTGAAAGAACTGAGAACCTAGATGGGCGCCCCAACCTGTTTGGGAAGCATCTGTGGTTAACGTAATCCAATTTTTTGTGCGAAAGAGAGGCTTTTTGAAATGTTGTTTCTTTCTTTCCACCAATCCAGTTGTTTCTTCACCACTTCGGATAGGTGAAAGACAGAGTCTAGATCCTCCTGTCGTCTTGACCATTGAGAAAGAATGTCCCATTGTAATGGTCTTAATTCCGCCTTTGCCCAAGCCACTGCTGGGATTGCAGAAGTGAGGAGACCCAGTACACTAATTGCTTCCCTGATGGAGCTTGAGTTTTTTTGCAGACTTGACACGGCTTTGTAAATCCTTCTTTGTTTCGCTTTTGGAAGGAAAAGAAACAGGGACTTTGAATCCACCTGAAGTCCCTGGAATTCCAGACTCAATTAAGGAATCAACTTGGACTTTTTTAGGTTTAGGAGCCAACCGTGTTATTTTAAAACTCTAATAGCGATCTCGAGGTGTGATCTTAGAAGTTGTTCTGATTGGGCTTTCAAGAACTAATCGTCTAGGTACAGAACTATAGAGATACCCTTTAGGCGCAAAGCTGCTGCTATGGGGCCCAGGAATTTGGTAAATATACGAGGAGTCAATGACAGGCCAAAGGGTAGTGCCTTGAACTGAAAGTGGAGAATTCTTCGCCTTCCTGTTAAGATTGCAAATCTGAGGAACTTCCGGGAGGACTTTGATACCGGAACATGGAGGTAGGCATCTTTCAGGTCTAGCTTTTCCTGAATTCCACTTTTTGCAGGATGTAGAATATTCTCCATATGAAATTTTTGGTACGGAATGCAAGTGTTGACCTTTTTTAGGTCTAGGATAGGCCGGAAGGATCCGTCTGGTTTTTGTACCAAGAACAGGCGAGAGTACACTCCCTAAAATTCCCATTGTTTGGGTACCTTTTCTACTACATCTTTGCGCAATAGGATAAGAGATTCTGCCAGAAGTGCCTCTGATATTGTTATCGATGGATAACTTGATAGTAGGAAGGATGGTTGTGGTATTGCAGAAAACTTGATTCTGTAACCTTCTGAAATGGTTCTTAGAATCCACCCGCTTGATGTAATCTTTTCCCATGCTTGAGTGAAGAAGCGAAGACGTCCTCCTACTCTCTTGGCGTCAAAATTTCCTCCTCTTGTCTTGCCTGTTGAGATGCTGTCTAGACCATTGACAGCTGGTTTCACCTTATTTTTTAAATCTACGAAAACGTCCTTGGTAACGAAAGGAACGCTGACCCTTGAACTGAAATCTTTTATATCTTTGGGGTCTTGACTCCAGAGGTAGAGCCTTCTTTGTTTCAGACATTTGTCTTATAATGTCTTCCAAAGGAGTACCAAAAAGCTTGTTCCTCTCAAAGGGTAGTTCACACAAGGCTGCCTTAGAGGCTGAATCAGCTGACCATGTTCTTAGACACAGTGCTCTTCTGGTCACTGACGACAACCCCATGATTCTGGCGGATAAACGTAGAATCTCATCAGAGGCATCCGAAAGAAATTCGTTAGACAATTTCAGTAGGAACATAAGCTGGGCTGGGTCGTTATCAGATTTTCCCATAAGGGACTTTTCTAGTGCTTGGAGCCAAATGTTCTGTGCTCTGAGAACTGCTGAATCTGCTATTTCGGCCCTGCATTGGTAGCCTGCGGCCTGGAAGATCCTTCTACACGAAGTTTCGGCTTGCTTGTCCATTGGGTCCTTCAGTCCAGAGACCTGAACAATGGGTATAGTGGTCGTCTTTGATAGTTGGGCTATCTGAATGTCCCATTTCTCTTCAGACTGTAGTTTGAAAATAAGTTTAAAATGCTTTGAAATAAACGCACGTCTTTCAGGATTTTTCCATTCTCTTTGAAGGAGATCCATTAGTTTAGGAAGCATTGGGAAGCCTTTAACCTTACCCTTGGTAGGTTCTGGTTCCTGTACAGCGGTCGCCACTTTAATAAATTTTTTAATCTCTTCTGGTGGAAAACCCTCTTCCAAACTTGAAGCTAGGCTAGAAATATTAGAAGGCAAGGAGGAAGAGCATTCCCCTGATGAGAGGTCAGACAGGGAGGGAGATCTTTCTCTTCTACGTTTCTTAGTCTGCTTATCCTGAACAGCCGGTTCTTTCTTTACGGCATCTTTGAAAGATTCAAATGTCTGGGACAAATTTTCCTGTAACCAGCACAGGAAGGATGACATATCAGTCTGCTTGGCTTTCTCTAGCACTTCTGTGGAGCACTGATTACATGTCTTTTTACGACATCCGTCAGGTAGAGGGACAGCACACTCCAGATAACATAAGTGCTTAGATTTACTTGTGCCTTTCTTAGGAACAGGAGCTGACATCTTTTCTCTATCAGCCTTATCCGGAGGAATAGGACTGGACATATCTGTTAAGAAGTAAAAAAACAATATTTTATATAGAAGCACGCAATAGTGACAGGCGTCAAAGGAGAGTTTTAAGAGTTAAATCTCACCTCAAACCACCTCACAACCGTGTAGGAGGGCTGGTGAAACTGAGAACCAGGACTCTACACCCACCCTTGGGGTCAGACAGGCTCTGCACAGCTTTATATGACCACAAATTTTGAATTTGGCTCCAAAATAGCGGACACCATTTTGCGCATGCGTACTAGCGCGATTCGGTGTTAAGTGGAACGCAAAACCTCCCAGGCGTGCGTTCCACTACTGTGCGCATGCATATAGCTACTTGGTGGGAGGTCCGCCCGGGAACTCCCAGAGATGCCACAAAAGACTGATATCCGCGTTCCGTAACGCAAACCCGGAAGTTTTCCTCGCCACTCAGCTCCCACCCGGGAAGCTATCGGTCACTCACCTCCCCGATCAGCAGCCTGTGCTGACCGCACCATTGTCCACCTGGACCTGGGGGAACTTGTCCGTCCCATTGCCGGGACAAGAAGAACTGGAGTTCTCCTCTGAGTTATAGATTATATAGAGGCAGCAGGCGGGGCACAACAATTATGGGAGCTTCTTGTCCAACCTGGAAGGAACATCCCACTTGTAAGTACTGCCACTATACGAAAGGAAAATTTAAGTTTTGACATGCTTGCCCTAGATAGTTCTGGTGCTATCCAGCGGTCAAGTGGTATTGGACTATGTTTAGTCTGTGCGACATGTTAATACATTATTTTTTACAATTTGTAATGGATTTTTCAAATAATTAACTTAATTTGCAAAGCAATGGCATGGTTTCCTTTCCTGTGGACATACAGTTTTGGCAGCCATTTCCATTCCTTTTTATTATACTTGGATCTTAGCAGTCCAGGGAGGATTCTAGGCTAGATGTTGCGCAGGAACTGTGTCAAGCCTTATCTTGATGTCAGGGTGGATGGCATGGAGTCTATATTTAAAGGGATTCTATAGGGCCCTCCTCCCGCAGTGCTGAAGAGGTTAAAACCCCTTCAGTCACTTATCTGAATCAATCGCTGATGTCCCTTGGCGCTGAGTCAGGCTCTGCCCACACTCCTTCCCTGCCTTCGTCAGCCTGCAAGGGAGACCTAACGCGCAGGTGCGGCAATGGCCACGCTCAAATTAGGATTTCCCCATAGGGGAGCATTATTCAATGCTTTCCTATGGGAAAAATCTGTTGCTGGAGGTCTTAATGCAGAGCGTGAGGATGTCTAGCATTATTTATTATTTAATGTCAGATAACGGAGCAAAAGTCAGTTTCAATTCTGGTAGACAGCCACCAGAGGAGGAGTTAACCCTCAGAGGTAATTATTGAAGTTTCTCAGAAACTGCAATTATTACCACTGATGAGTTAAAAGGAAAACTATAGTGTTAGGAATACATATTTTTATTTCTATCGCTATAGAGCCCTAGTCACCATTTAGGTGACTAGGGCCAGTTCTGCGGCAAATAAATGGTTAATTAACCATTTCTTTGCTTACCTTAATCCAGCTCTGGGCTCCCATTGCAACTGGTGACCTCTCCTCCTCCATCGACGCAAGCTTCTGAGTGGAGCCGAATGCGCATGTGCGGCCAGTGTCACGCGCACATTATAATCCGCCCATCGGAAAGCATTGCTCAATGCTTAACTATAGGGATCTTTTTTGAAACTGGACTCCATGAGGACGTCCAGCATCAAATAAGTGCGATTTACTCTGTGTAAATTGCAGAGGCGACCTTTGGTGGCTGTTAGGGAGACAGCCACCAGAGGCTAGATTAACCATGCAGTGTAAACATCACAGTTTCTCTGTTGTTTACAGCTGCAGGGTTACAACTAGGACATTGATCTGAAGTGGTCTGGGTGCCTATAGTGGTCCTTTAAGGGACATCGGACATTGCACCCAGACCACTTCAATTAGCTGAAGTGTCTGGGTGCCTACAGTGTCCCTTTAACAGTATCTTTTACACAGCAATTATGAACCACATAACCAGTTAAAATATTTTTTCATACATTAGTCACATCATTTTGATTAACTACCACATTATTATTTGTTTTAGACTGTCTACTGATTGGAATTGAAGCTTACAGGAACACTATAGTCACCAGCACAACTACAGCTTAATGTAGTTTGTCTGGTGAGTATAGTCATTCCCTGCAGGCATTTTGTTTTAAACACTGTGCTTTCAGATAAATGGCAGTGCTTACATAACAGCCTGGGAACACCTTTAGTGGCCACTCCTCACACTGCATGGAAACGCTGAATTTTTCCCATAGAAGAGAAGCTAATTGGTCATGGCTGTGTTTGGCTCCGCTACTAGCCCACCCCCTTGGCTAAGATAATCAGAACTGACTCTCTCAGCCAATCAATGCTTTCCTATAGGAAAGCAATATGATTGGCTGAGATCATCAATTCTGAAGGTCTGAAGGAGTCTGATCAGAGGCGGAGCTAGCACCAGCAGAACCGTGCAGCGCTGGAAATAAAGTGAGTCTTCTAGTTATTTAAAATCTGACAAGATGGGATGGGCTAACATGTTTTTTTTTTTTTGTTTTTTTTTTAACATTACACTACCCTAAAGTGTTCCTTTAAATTATATTGTTGGTTTTACGGCTTTAAAACACTTATGAATAGTCAATCATAAACACAACCACCTGCCTGAAAAAAAAAAAAAAAGAAGAAGATATGCTGGGAAACATTTTGGTTTAACAAAAAAAACAAACAAAAAGAAAAACGGGGAAGAGACCAAAGAGATGTGATGTCTGTGGGGATTTCTAGCCTCTTAACTCTTAAGAACTTGGAAACTCCTGAAAAGAAGAGACTACAGTGACGAAAAATAGATATTATATGGCTATTTAGAATCGGAGACTTCAAAATTCAGTAAGCAATACATATTTACTTCAATAAAGCTGTATACTTCTAATGTACACGATAGTTCTAATGTACAGTTTCAGGAAAATGGAAGCATATGCCACAAAAATGTAGTGGGCAGACTGGACCCATTTAAAAAGGTACAAACTATCCCAAAGTGCTATAGATTATTGTCAACAAAACCAAGTCCCAACATTGTGTCTTTGGAGAGAACCATAGTCTGTCTGAGGTGAATAGTGCTGGATTTAGGAAGGTATCATGCCCTTGTTCCTCTTCCTGTCTGCCATGGCCCTGCGGTTGTGGTTGGCTCTAGCTCCTTTGTTGGCTTCTTTCTTCCTGCGCTCTTGCAAAGTGTCACGGCTCTGCCCTTGGCCCCTGTTTGCTCCTTGTAAAGCTGCAGAATTATCTGGACGAATTCTGTGGACAGAGAATTATTAATTATTAGTTAGTTATTATAATAACTAAATCATCCATTGCTGTGTGTAAACATTCTGTCATAGTGCTTTGTCAATTTAGATAATTAGTGACTAATTACTGTTGCAGCACTGGCTGAAATCCTGCTAGACATATCAATATGCATGTCAAAACTTAAGACTTAAAGAAACACTAATGTATATTTATTTTTAGCACGTTCCTTAAAGGACCACTATAGGCACCCAGACCACTTAAGCTTAATGAAGTGGTCTGGGTGCCTGCTTCAGCAGGGGTTAACCCTTTTTTTTATAAACATAGCAGTTTCACAGAAACTGCTATGTTTATAAATAGGTTAGTCCAGCCTCTAAAGCCTCTAGTGGCTGTCTCATTGACAGCCTAGAGGCGTTTGCGTGCTTCTCACTGTGAAAATCACAGTGAGAAGACGCAAGCAAGCGTCCATAGGAAAGCATTGCAGGAAGAAAGAAGCCAACAAAGGAGCTAGAGCCAACCATTGTAAATGCTTTCCTATGAGACTGGCTGAATGCGCGCGCAGCTCCTGCCACGCATGCGCATTCAGCCGAAGAGGAGGAGAGGAGACGGAGAGAAAGAGGAGAGCTCCCCGCCTGGCGCTGGAGAAAGGTAAGTGTTTAACCCCTTCCTCTCCCCAGAGCCCGGCGGGAGGGGGTCCCTGAGCGTGGGGGCAACCTCAGGGCACTATAGTGGTCCTTTAATGTACTTAAGAAAACACCATAAACTTTATTAACCTTTAATGCAGCACTGGGGGTGTCTCCTTGGTGCAGCCATCCTGCCTCTGGTGATGAGGTAATTTTATACTGCTTCTATATTATGCTGGCTACTGAATAGCTAACGTACATTCTCTGGTGAAATGCAATCCTTATAAATAGGCATTGAGGACATAATGAGCATGTGTGACAATCGATAAACTCTTCCATTCAGATATTTTCCAAAAGGGACACATTGGACAGGATTGGCACCATCATGCCGTGCGGTCTTCAATGAGGAAGCACCTCTAGAAGCTGTCAGTGTAACAGCCATCAAAGACGTGTTCTCTTACAAATGTAAACATTGCCATTAGTCAAACATGGCAATGTTTTACATCGCCAGATAAAAATGGGACAGAGCATCAATTCACAAAAACCACTTTATTACGATAAAGTGATTTTGGTGCACACAGTGTCCCTTTAACATGATAGTGATGTTACAATGTTAATATAACAGACTAATCTGCACTTTGTATGAAACAAGATTTAAAATAAGAAGGAATAGTCAATAGAAACACACACACACACACGTGACAGAGAGTATATGTATCGTTGGCTTTACATAGTTACATAGCTGAAAAGAGACTTGCTCCATCAAGTTCAGCCTTCCTCACATGTTTTTACTGTTGATCCAAAAGAAGGTAAAAACCCCAGTGTGAAGCACTTCCAATTTTGCAACATATAACATAGAAAACATTTTTTTAAATAAAAGTATGATCCTTACCCTTTTCTGGCATAGAAATTGGCTCTTCGTGCCTCAGCCCGCTCTCTAAGTACTGCTGGGTCCTGTACAAAGTGATCATTCTGAAGAAAAAAAAAAAAAATACAAAAAAAAGGTATTATGTATCCACCAGCAATTTAAGAGCCAGGATTCCAAACAGGTTAGTTACCAAAAATAAACAAATGTTTGACCCCAGTAGAATTGCTTTGGTTTGGTGTACATGCATACACAGTATTCTAGTTTTCCTTTCTCTGCTCCATTGCACTATAATGTTGATCCCATTTAATTTAATGAGCCTTTCTACTTAAATCTTTTTGTGACCTTGTTCTATAGTGATATGTTCTATAGTATATAGACTTTGTTCATATAGTGCTGCAGCTTTTGCGAATAACTTTTAACCCCTTAAGGTCACATGACGGAAATATTCCGTGATGATTCCCTTTTATTCCTGAAGTTGTGTCCGTAAGGGGTTAAAGTAATAAACCGCAAGCCTCCTGAACTTTATCCCCACACCTGCTGACCACAAAGTGTTAGAAAAGAGGGGCAAACCATTTCCGGGAGATGGGAGCGGCGCGTGACGCAACGTAAGCGCACGCACCAAGAGGTGGAGCTCAGGGGGAAAACGAACCGGGGAGGAAGATGCAACCATGAGGGAACGGCGTCTAGAGACTACAGCATCTCTGGTCTTATGAAGTACGGACAATCGGCTGGCAGAATATATCCTGACTAACCCTGTTCCAGGGATTTAATCAGTGACTCTCATGCTGGGATTAGCAGAGTGAACTGCAAGTATACAGAAATGTACTCACTATAAGTGTCGTCTGCTTATATTTGACCTCATATATAAAAAACAACAGGATGGGCTATTAAGCTGCAAGGGGCACAAAAACTCCTAAATTGCACAAAGGTCTTTTCTGAAAGAAAGACGAATGCAATAAAAAGATAAGTAAAAATCTTAAAGTTGATCAGAGAGCTGGGGAGAAAGATAAGTAGAGGAAAAATAGGGGAAAGGAGAACATTTTTATATCTGCCAGAGATATTCAAATAATATTAAAGGACCACTATAGTGCCAGGAAAACATACCCGTTTTCCTGGCACTATAGTGCCCTGAGGGTGCCCCACCCTCAGGGACCCCCTCCAGCCGGGCTCTGGGGAGAGGAAGGGGTTAAACACTCACCTTTCTCCAGCGCCGGGTGGGGAGCTCTCCTCCTCCTCCTCTCCGCCTCTTCGGCTGAATGCGCATGCGTGTCAGGAGCTGCGCGCGCATTCAGCCAGTCTCATAGGAAAGCATTCATAATGCTTTCCTATGGACGCTTGCGTCTTCTCACTGTGATTTTCACTGTGAGAAGCACGAAAGCGCCTCTAGCGGCTGTCAAGAGACAGCCACTGGAGGCTGGATTAACCTATTTATAAACATAGCAGTTTCTCTGAAACTGCTATGTTTATAAAAAAAAAATGGGTTAACCCTAGCTGGACCAGGCACTAGAGTGGTCCTTTAAGAAAAAATACTGTGGAAATATCAGCCTAAATGGCTATGCCGAAGATCCCCCCAAAAATAAGGATGTTAAAAAAAATAAAAATGAAAAATACGCCTCTACCTTTTTTTTTCCACAAAATAAGCAGGGTGGAGAAACATCCTTTATAAATGAATCATTATCGGAGGATAAAAGAAGTTCTACAACCAATCTCCAAGACTTTATAAGGATCAGTTTAGATAGTCAAACAGAAATCTTTAAAAAAGAATTGGATAACAGTACTGCCCTAATGACAAAACAAATGGGAAAAAAATCAACATGAAGATAGCTAAAGTTGAAGAAAACCAAGAACAAATAGTAAATCACTGCAAATGAATTACAGAATAACAAAATAAGATGAAGTTAGAACTAGGAAATTTGGACAATCGATTAAATTTGATTGAAGAAAGAATGGGAGCGAGAAACATAAGGATAAAAAAATATACCAGAAGCCATTTCCTATGATTAAATAAAAGAGTATTTATTAGAACTCTTTGCAGCATTAAATTTACAAGTACAAGTTCCGGCAGTATGTATGGAAAATATATGTAGAATTAAAAAACCACAAGGAATTCAAAATGCTTATCCCAGGGACACGATTGTTACTCTACATTCTCTGCTTTTCAAGCAACAAATAATCTATGCTATAAGAAATAAGACATTTTCAGAAGATGATAAATGTAAATATTCAGATTTATCAAGACCTTTCCAGATCTGTAAGAATGTGGAGAAAAAAGTATTTTGATGCGTTGAAACCATTGAAGGAAAGAGACATTGGATATCAATGGGGCCCAGGCAAAGCTATTACAATAAACTGGAACGACACGAGAAAATTATTCTTGAACCCCAAAGAATTAGAAGACTGGGCAACACAACAATTTAAATAAGAATCTAAGGAGTACGGAGAGTTCTGTGGAAGAACAGATGGAGACTCTCCTTTTTTTTATTTTTTATTTTTTTGTGAAATTTAAAGGAGGACACATTTATAATATATTATTTGAACTGTGGCACTATCTTAGGATATATATATTGTATATTATATATTTTTTTTAATTTTTTTTTCATATGTTTGCATAATATGAGGGTATGAATAAGTAGATTAAATATATATACATATATGATAATTGGCACAAAGTTGGGGGCAGGAATGAAGGTAAAATTCTATGCCTAAATTAGTCAAAAGGAGAAATATGTATACTATATTGCACTAGCTGGAAGTTAAGAAAATACACGTATACACGTTGGTGATCTCTTAAGGGAAGTATAAAAAGAGGAGAGGAAAAATGAAAGGTAAATGGTTTAATAGAATGGACATATAGATAACTCACTATAGGAGTGTTGAGAAATAGAATTTATAATAGATAATTTGTAAAGGCTGGTCCGATGACCTTATTTCAATATAAAAGGGGGGTTTTGAATTAATAACACAAAAAATGGTTCACACTAGATAAATGTTAAAATAGGTATAATGATAGGGATAGGAATGGGAGCCTACATTTGAAATAGAAATAGAAAAAGTAATAAATATGCACACTATTAAGTTTATGTTGGAAGTTATGTAATTTTTTTTTTCTCCCCTCTCTCTTCTCTATCTTACCTCACTCTATACCCCCATTATGAAGGGGGAGAGGTGGGAGACTATGAGAGAGGGAGAACAATTTATTAATATTCTGATTAAAATAGATGGAGAGTTTCTCAGATGTTTTATAAAATATAGTAAATAGAGTAGATGCAATGCCAAATGGATAAAAGACCAATCCATTGATCCAATAAGAATAATTTTATAACGAGCAATATGTTACGGAAATAGAGCGGGCGATCTTCTGGGGATTATTAAAGACAGGGCTTCAAGTACCAGAGATGGGAATGGTATTTGGATTTCAACAGAGATTTTTATTTGTTGGATGTTTTTTGTGATGGTATTTGAAAAGTATTTTTTTTTTTTCCCCAAAAGGAAAGTCAATTTCTGCCCTTGGGCCCATATGCTGAATACATAAATAAATAATACGGTTACGATTGCCCCTCAGGAGCTTCCACTTTAAGGTCAGGTATAGACCTTAGCCCTAGACAATATGCGAGATATTGTCAAGGCTTACAGATTGAGGAGATATAATGTCACCTCAATAGTTATTAGTTATTACGGGTGATTTTAACTGTGTGCTAGATACAGATCTAGATAAAAAAAACAAAAAACAATAAACCGATAAGTAAACATCTGAGAAATCAAGCTAGGATATTGAGAAATATACTTCAAGAAAATAACCTACTAGACATATGGAGGGTATACAACCCAGAGGAAAGAGAATATACGCACTTCTCTAAAGTACATTCTTCTCTCTGTAGAATAGACAGTGTTGGGTGAAGCAAAGCTGGTAGACAAAATAAAATATATACATATAGAAGAGAATACATGGTCAGACCATAGCTATATTATTTTTAATACAAAAGACGATAAAAAATATACACCCAATACTAGATGGCGTTTAGACGATAACATTTTGAATAACAAGGCAGACCAAATATGAATTGGGGAAATGATACAGTGGTATTTTAAAGAGAATAACTCGGAGGAGCTCTCAGCAGCCACAATATGGTGTGCATTTAAAGCGGTCGTATGGGGGTATTTGATTAAACTTAAAGAAGAGACACAGAGAGAAAAAGGTCAGACCAGAGAAAAATTATATATAGAATACTACCAGTTGGCCAGAAGAAATAAAAGGTTGCTAACTAGCGACTCACTCAAACAACTTTTAGAGATTAAAACGAAAATAGAGAAAATAGAAAGAGAACGAATAGAAAAAAATTTGGAGAGGATGAAAGTAAACTTTTATTATGACAATAACAAGATCAATAAATGGCTAACTAAAAAACTTAAGAAAACAAAGGGCAAGAATAGGATCAGTAGTATTAGAAAGGATTCAATATTGCATAAAAAAACAGAAAGTATAGCCAAAGCTTTTCAAATATATTATGAAGAGTTGTATAATATACCTAACCAACCAAAAGAGGAGTTAATAAAAGAGTATCTGAGGGAAATAAACTTTCCGAAGCTTTCAGAGGAGCAAAAAAAAAAAATATTAAATGCTCCCCTCCAAAAGATGGAATTTATAGCTGCCATTAAGAAACTTGTGATATATAAAACCCCTGGCCCAGATAGTCTGACCAATAGATTTTATAAACTATATGGAGACATCTTGGCAGAACACCTAACTAAAATATATAATGAAATATCATTGAAAGGTATAGGCCAAAAAGAATTATTATACGCAAACATAATCCCAATTCATAAAAAAGACAAGGACCCCCAAGAACTAAAAAACTATTGTCCAATCTTGCTTATTGGTGTGGACTCCAAATTATTCTCATCCATACTAGCTGACAGGTTAAATAAAATAATAGTTATGGAATTAGTGGATAGAGACCAGATAGGGTTTGTCCCTACCAGACAAGCGAGTACCAATATAAGAAGATTGATTAACGTTCTGGACTGGGGAGATAGAACTCAGATTCCCCTCCTGACCCCATCACTGGATGCCGAGAAGGCCTTTGACAGGGTCGGGTGGGGATTTATGATGGGGGTACTGAAAGCAATGGGTATAGATGGCTGGATGCTGACAGCGATAGCCTCTATTTACCAAAATCCGATGGCGAGGGTGGTGGGTATAGACTTATGCTCAGATTGGTTTCCATTAAAAAATGGCACCTGTCAAGGGTACCCGTTGTCACCAATATTATATATTTTATCTATGGAAGCTCTTGCCATTAGAATAAGAGATAACCCTGATATTAGGGGGTTCCAACCCCTGATAGAGAGCTAAAAATTAGCATGTATGCAGACAACACTATTATGACTCTTACGGATCCTATTCAATCGGTCCATAACTTGATGAAAGAAATAGAAGCATACAGTAATATTTCAAATTATAAGATAAATACAGAAAAAACAATAGTGATGTTTAAAAATTGTAAAACAGGGTGGAAGAATGAATTTATAAAGACATTTGGTTTCACAGATGCTAATGGTAGCTTTGAATATTTGGGAGTACAAATATCGGATAAGATAGAAAAAATGGTAGAGCTTAATTTTACAAGGCTATTGCTTAAAAAGTGGAATCCTTTGTTTTTTAGTTGGATGGAAAGGATAAACAAATGCATATATTGTTCTGAGATGGACCTACTTTTTTAGAATGATTCCCTTAAAAATTCCCATACCTTTGTTGGAGATAATACAAAGGCTATTTAAGAATTTTATTTCGAAAGGGAAGAAGCCTCGGATTAAATTAGATCAATTAACGAATAGTATAGGGCAAGGAGGAGTAAACTTCCCAAATATTATAAGACATTACGAAGCCAGTTATTAGGCAAAAAAGATTCTGAAAAAACAGGTTGGTTTGGACTAGAGACTCAACCATTGAATAGGCAGGAAATAAATAAGTATCTTTGGCAACCCAAGAATACTGGGAAGGAAGTTAAAAATATAATTTTAAATCATTTATTTACCAATTGGTTTATGATAAGGAAAAAACTAAAAATTCTGAGTAATATTTTTGGCTTTATGGAGATAGAAATATTGGAGGTTCTAATGACCGATTTGAATAATAGATACCTGGAAATATCGGAATATTAAAACAATGGATGATATTATAATAGGGGACAAAATGAAAGATTTTCTAACTCTGTCAAAAGAATTTGGTCTTCCCCAAGTAGAGGCCTTTCGTTATTTAAGAATAAAGTCATTTGTAGGGAAATCTCTTAAGGGTAACATAACAAGTAGTGGACTCATAAAGCAAATTTTTGGAAGCCACAGTCCTAGGAAAAATATGGCTAAATGCTATGCATTAATTAGATCGGCTCCTAAAGACATAATGTCTAAACAAATAAAAAGATGGGAAAAGGAATGTAACCTAAAAATTGATATTACGATCTGGGGCAATATGATGCTAAAGGTAAAAAAAAATATTCATAATACGATTCTGTTTGAGACACATTATAAAATATGCTACCTTTGGTACTTAGTGCCAAGCAGACTAAATAGAATTGATCATAATGAGTCCGACATTTGTTGGAGATGTGGGAGTGAAATTGAAAATTTTATTTATATTTGTTGGAGTTGCAAATTAATTAGAAAACTATGGAATGAGGTTTTCAGAAGATTATATGTTTGGGATAAAATTTTAATAGATCAATCTCCAGCTTCGGCGCTCCTGGCCTGATATATCACTATCTCAACAATTTTTAACTATTCATTGTTTCATGGCAGTGAAGATTCTGATAGCTAGAAGCTGGAAAAATTCCACTGTTATTGATTGTAAACATTAGGAGAAACAACTGTTGTCTCAGATCAAGGATGAGATAGGCCTATATAGGGGGAAAGATAATGCACAGAAATATGATATGGGAATAAAGTGTTTACAAATTATAAGATGATTATTGAAATATAGGAGTGGTTCACTAACACACTTCAGATTATTAAGATGTCAAAGAAATAGGAGACATATAATGTATCCTACGTATGCTGTGTCCTTATCACACTTTTTTGTGTGCGAATGGTGTATGTTAAAAGTTATTGTTTAGATTGAATGCCAGATATGTATTGTTTTTTGGTATAAGATGTTTGTAATTTTTTCTTGTGGAAAACCAAATAAAGATTTATACTTAAAAAAGAAAAAAAAAAAAGAAAAGAGGGGCAAACCACGGCTATCCCCTTTACTATCTTAATAATCTATGTACCACATAGATTATTAAATATCTATGTACAATTTATACTATTGGAGTCATTTTCAGAACCACTACTTTAAGTTATTTTTTTGCCAGGTGAAGATGTCTTTAAAAAAAAAATGATGATATAGGTACATTGTAATCCATGTATGTCTACATGTATGTCTACCCTCTTGTCTTATAGTGCATTCTATGGAGTGCACCTTGTTGCTCATATGTCTACTGATGAATTACAAAATATACGTCCAATTGTTCTTTCAACTGCACTCTGACCTGGTTATCATCCCAATAACACAGTGGATATAGCCCAATAAATTTCTTTGTACCTTGATGGTTTCTTCTTCTGCCTCCTCTTTATCCTCTTGATCGTCTTCTGCTACCTCCTCCCGTGATCTCAGAACCTGAGGTATAGTGAAGGGTCTAGAAAATATAGGTGGTATTACATTCTTAAAATCTACTCACAAATATTTGAGATCACTATAGAAAGTTTGTTTTATAATAGAGATAATATAGACGTTCTGGTAACTATTTTGATAGAACTAGCAATTTATCTGTACTCCAGAAAATAAATACTTCTGCAACTGCACTGTAGTAAATTGAAAACACTAACTGCAAAGTTTCAACAAAAATACAACGAAACCGCTACAACCAGAACTTGAATATAGAAAGCAGAGAAGCAAAGGTTTAATTACAAAAAAAAAACACTTTTATTAAATAATAAAGGGTCTGTCTAGTCCCCATTACCACAACACTGGAGCTGTCAGATGGCAAATAGGGTTTTCAAACAGCTTGACACTTGCTCGTGTTAACTGGGTGCCGGTGGCCCTACCTTCTCTTCTGACATATCAAAAACAGAGATATCCATCCTATAATTTATATTTCAATTTTGTTCCTATTTGGACAGAAATCCTTAGCGGAGAGCATCAGCTGACGCCCTTAGTCACTGAATTCATTCTAAAGACCATCAGAAGTGATGCTATTAACGTGGAAGTAGGAACTTTAGTGATATAGTTTAGTGATATTAAAAGAGGAGGCCAGAACAAAGTTGCCCTAGGATCCAAGATAAATGTCCAAGAATTGAAAATGTTTTCACTACTTATTGAGGGGGCAGCACCACGGGAATCTTGGTACTGTAAGCACTACACATACATTCAAAATTATATACACATGCAAAAATAATATATATATAAATGTATATTAACAGTTGACCATCTATTGTGAGATTTATATATGTACAACAATCTCCATGATACCTAGAATCTGAAGTTACAATATAATGAAGAATAGAGGAAAAAAGGAGAATGGGTGTGAATTTGGGAGGAGAGTACATAAAAAGTGGGTTGTGACATTCATATTTTATAAGATATGGGATTAAAATTTGGGTTATTTTAGTCTACTACTCTATATTTAATGAATAATGCCTGAAATGTTAGAGTTTGGCCAGAGATAAAGAGGGAGAGAGAAGTGGCATTACCTGCGACTAATTAGCTCATCATCTGAGTCTGCATCATTTGCACCAACTTGGTTCCCATCATAGGTGTCATCATACTCATCATCATAATCACCATCCATGATGAGCTCCTCTGTGACCATGCTATACTTGGAGTACCGCTCCTTCTGTGCAGAGATTAAACTTTTATCTGCCAAAAGCTGGGCAGTTGTCTCCTGTTTCCTGTATTAGGTAATAAAGCATATGTAGTAAGCAAACAAAAATTGATGTACCTGATCATTAAGGAATACACTTTGCACCATTGTTTAAAACTGGCGTACACTATGTGATGTTCCCTTCCTCTTCTTTGTATATTGCTCCATTGCACTTCCAAAAATGGACTATAGGTGGAGATAAACCCTTTTACAATCTGTTTTTGCAGAAGTATTCATTACTTAATTGTTATTTAAAAAAAAACATATTGTTACTTCTCACTATCGTTAATACATATCGTTACTACATTAAAGAGTTACTTTAAGCACAATGACCACTTCAACTAGCTACTGGAGGTGCAACTCCAATTCCAACAACGGAATGAGAATTCTCATTTGGCTAATATTAATGCTGCGCATTCATTAACAGAGAATGCTTAGTGGAAGCTCACAGTTTTTGGAGCTTTGCAGAAGCCAGATGTCATTCAGATGCCATTTATTAAGGCTCAGTTTCTAGTAGGATCCAAGTAAGTGACAAAACATATTAAAACAGTTTACCCTTTTACCGGGGAATGGCCAAAGTATTCCTGTCATCATAATCACTACTATGGGTTGAAGTGGTTATGATGTTTGAGTAACCCATTTCCCATTTTGATCACGTATACCATGCTTTTTGGTAGTGCAGTGGTTAAAATTGGTTCCCTTAATATATTTTTCCTACATGGATGTAGCTATAGATATGCTGATCAATACAAACAGGCTTAGTAAGATATACATTAATCTATGTACTTCTATCCCAACATACTTGTATCTATGAATCAATTTAACAATGCAGTTATAGTAAACCAGACATTTTGCACATGAACAGCTTTTACAATTGCATGTCTGTTCAGACAGACTATATGAATTCTATTAATGATCATCACCTCCTTCCTTTCCAGATTCGTGACGTGTCCACAACATCTCTGCTGAAAACATCAAACTCATCATCTGCAAAGACATTTGATCTCGAGGAAACAAGCGGGCAAGGATCCAGCTTTTCCTGTCTAAAAGACAAAGGGCACCAATATTACTTTAAAAACAACAGTGCGTATTTGTTTACAATCAATAATTCAATGCATTAACAATTATCTTTTAAGACACCATTAGAGCTTTCCCTTTTCCCACTTGATATATTTTCATGTTGTATTAACAGGGCAGGCTTTATATGCTCACTGGAGAAAGCATGAGACATCATGGACTCCTCCGTCATACCAAACATTTGGTGAGCTGCTTTGTAATCTATTTTATAAAACAATAGACAGGAAGCTAAGGAATGTTATTTCACCTTTCTACATTTGCCTTATGTAATAACTGGTTCCACATATCATTTGATGTCTTTAAGCTAGTGATGTCAATCTCACTGTATAGCCTGTAACAATTGACTGAGAACAGCAGGCACCCCTAATGGTTAGCCCCTTAATACCTGGGCAAAGTGCGGTCCATCTCTTGCAGCCGTGGGGTGAGGTTTTCCTCCAACAAATTATTTATGACTCTCTCAGGATCATATGCATATTCTTCAAGGCAGTTAAGGATAAATCCATCTCCCAGATCTGGAAGCAAATCTTTTATTTGTGACACCAGGGAGTCCAGCTCTACCCCACTGAGGTATGGGCCTGCAGTGGCTCCAGAACACTACAGAGGAAGATGGGATAATAAAAGTCAGTGGAGTAAAGAGTAATGGTTCTGGAATTAGGGAGTACAAGGATGTACTGCTGGAAGATAATACAATATAAGAAATAATACATTGAAATTGAATAAGCAGATATGACAGAAAAAACAAGTTAGAATAAGGAATGTATAGGAAGGAAAATGCCATAGCCAGGAATATTTAAGAGCAGGAGTGGCTATTATGCTGCATTATAGTTTCTGATTAGCTACAGTTATGGCATCCGAGCCAAGCTAAGGACAGTGAAAGAAATTCCACCTTCCTCAGCGGGGAGTAAGAGGCTGGTCACCTTTGCATAATGTAGCTTTAAAACACAAAGTAGTAGATTTTTGATTTGTGACAGACTCTTACCTCTGGTTCCAAACTATGAGAGTTCTGATAATTGTTGGCATGTGCTCCTTCAGCAGTTCTTACAGAGCTTATTTGTAACGAAGGTGCAGGATGGGTCATGGGTCTTCGAGTATCAGCATATGCTCCTTGCACTCCATGCAATATGTATGTAGTGCGGGTCTCATCACTGAAAGAGGTTAAGTACTTAACACACAATCAACATCTTGCCTCTTCTCCAAGCCTACTTAGCCTCTTCGTAATGATATATGAAAAGGATACATTGATGGAGAAACCTGCTGTAGCAAATTCAGATCATCAGCCACGGGAAATAGCTCATCATAATCACAAAGAAACCTGTAGCCAAGAGGGATATAAAGAGCTTTAAGCAAGCATCAGTGCTAGCAACATGTTGCCAGAACAGACATCATCATACACATTATGAAAGCCTGACATTATCCATGTAAATGGAAAAACTATATGTAAAATCGGTGTAAAAATTTTAAACACCAGTACTATTTCCAAAAGTATGCAATTGCAGTACTAAGTGAATTAAAAGGCAAGATGGAACCTGGAGTGTAACCATTGCAGTATGCTGCAGTAGTTATGCTGCCTAGACGTCGTTGGTTTATTAACAAAAAGTTCAAGATGTAAACCAAGGTTTTTCCTGGCTGCGAGGAAACACTCCCATCTCTGCCACAGTGACAATGAGCAATTAACACATCCGCATTATCAATGTCAATTTTGTTCAACATGGATGAAATGGATTAGCTGAGAGTGCTATGCATGTCTTAAATTATTTGATATGAAACAGAGGAACATGGTCAGGGTACTTTAGACAATGTAACTACTACAGCGCATTATGTTGCTTGAAGTGTCCCTTTAAGACAACAGCTACACTAGGAAAAACACAGGCTGGATGCAACACAAATTAAGAAGAAGATTTATCCTATTCTATGACAATATTGCTCCTTTTATAATGCTGATTCATTCTCACCTTCTCTCTGGAAGTAGCACTGTCAAAACCTGCAAGAAATCCTCCACATAGGGCTGAATATTCTCTGCCCTGCAACACAAGAGACAAATGTTTATTGTAGTCTTACACAAAGGTCATGGTAAAGGGTCATACAAATACATAACTATCTTCACAAATACATGTCCTCACTGAATAATCTGTGGTAGTTGTCTCAGCTTCTTCTACAAAATTACTAACATAATTACAGGCTCCACACACATTTGGTTTCATGCAATTTAAGGCATCTTCATTATTTGTTTAGCTCAGTGTCCCCTTATTCTACATAAGGAAATACCATTATTATTATTTTATATAGCACCAGCAAATTCCGTAGTGTTGTACAATGGGATGTAATGTCACCCCAATGAAGGGGAGTTGTGTGGTTGGCCAACAGTTCTATTTGGTAGAGCTCTAACCGTTACATACTTGTGTTCCAAGATGGGCTGAAGACATGTTTTGCTCAGGATGATGTGAAAAATCTCCAACATCTTTTTCCTGGAGTGAGAAAGCCTTCTCCAGAGATCAGACTGCAAACTATGAAGAGATGAGTACAGAATTCTTATTGTTGATTTACAAACAACTTTGAAGTGAATGATATAGTTGAAGAATTTGATAATGAGAATTGAGACTAGCATTCACACAGAAATAAGTTACACAGAAACCTTCAACATACAGAAAACCAGCTAGATAACTGGAATTGTACAGTTAAGTCTAGAAATATTTGAACACTTTGTTATTTTGTATGTTTAACAAAATAAATTCAAGATACAGTTAAATAGTGTATATGGCCTTAAAGTGCAGTCTCCCAGCCTTAATTCAATGGTTTTTACATCCAAATTGGAGGAAAGGTTTAGGAATTACAGCTGTGTAACATAGAAACATAGAATGTGACTGCAGATAAGAACCATTCGGGCCGTCTAGTCTGCCCAATTTTTAAAAATATTTTCATTAGGATAGCCTTATGCCTATCCCACGCATGCTTAAACTCCTTTACTCTGTTAATCTCTATCACTTCAGCTTGAAGGATATTCCATGCATCCACTACCCTCTCAGTAAAGTAATACTTCCGGATATTATTTTTAAACCTTTGCCCCTCTAATTTAAGACTATGTCCTCTTGTTGTGGTAGTTTTTCTTCTTTTAAATATAGTCTCCTCCTTTACTGTGTTGATTTCCTTTATGTATTTAAATGTTTCTATCATATCCCCACTGTCTCGTCTTTCCTCCAAGCTACACATGTTAAGTTCCTTTAACCTTTCTTTGTAAGTTTCATCCTGCAATCCATGAACCAGTTTAGTAGCCCGTCTCTGAACTCTCTCTAAAGTATAAAATATCCTTCTGAAGATACGGTCTCCAGTACTGCATACAATACTCCAAGTGAGGTCTCACCAGTATTCTGTACAATGGCATAAGCACTTCCCTCTTTCTACTGCTAATACCTCTCCCTATACAACCAAGCATTCTGCTAGCATTTCCTGCTGCTCTATTATATTGTCTGCCTACCTTTAAGTCATCAGGAATAATCACCCCTAAATCCCTTTCCTCAGATGTTGCGGTTAGGACTCTATCAAATATTCTGTACTCTGCCCTTGGATTTTTACTTCCAAGATGCATTATCTTGCACTTATCCATTAAATGTCAGTTGCCACAACTCTGACCATTTTTCTAGTTTACCTAAATCATTTGCCATTTGGCTTATCCCTCCTGGAACATCAACCCTGCTACACATCTTAGTATCATCAGCAAAAAGACATACCTTACCATCAAGACCCTCTGCAATATCACTAATAAAAACATTAAAGAGAATGGGTCCAAGTACAGATCCCTGAGGTACCCCACTGGTGACAAGCCCATGCTTCGAATATACTCCATTGACTACAACCCTCTGTTGCCTGTCACTCAGCCACTGCCTTACCCATTCAACAATATTGGAATCCAAACTTAAAGATTGCAGTTTATTGATAAGCCTTCTATGTGCAACAGTGTCAACAGCCTTACTGAAATCTAGGTAAGCAATGTCTACTGCACCACCCTGATCTATAATTTTAGTTACCCAATCAAAAAAATCAATAAGATTAGTTTGGCATGATCTCCCTGAAGTAAACCCATGTTGTCTCTGATCTTGAAATCCATGTGTTTTTAGATGTTCAACAATCCTATCCTTTAACATGGTTTCCATTACTTTCCCCACTATTGCAGTAAGGCTTACTGGCCTATAGTTGCCCAACTCCTCCCTACTACCTTTCTTGTGAATGGGCACAACATTCGCTAACTTCCAATCGTCTGGGACTACTCCTGTTAACAATGATTGGTTAAATAAATCTGTTAATGGTTTTGCTAGTACACCACTAAGCTCTTTTAATAGCTTTGGGTGTATTCCATCAGGTCCCATTGACTTATTTGTCTTTACTTTTGACAGTTGAAATAGAACCTCTTCCTTTGTAAACTCACATGTAACAAATTACTCATTTGTCCTTTTTCCTAACTGAGGCCCCTTTCCTTCATTTTCCTCTGTAAATACTGAACAAACATATTAATTGAGGCAGTCAGCTTGACCTTTATCCTCTTCTACATACCTTCCTTCTTTTGTTTTTAATTTAACTTATCCTTGTTTTACTTTCCTTTTCTCATTTACATATCTAAAAAATGTTTTGTCACCTTTTTTTACTGACTGTGCTATTTTCTCTTCTGTGTGTGATTTGAAAGCTCTTATAACTTGCTTAGCCTCTTTCTGCCTAATCTTATAGATCATTCTGTCTTCCTCACTCTGGGGAACATGGGACTCTTCTTCAAGTGACCAAAAGCAATTGGACAATTGACTCAAAAGTTTCATGGCCAAAATAACTAGAAATTGCAGTAAGCAACCTATTTTATTTGCCTAAAATAATAATTAAAAGACAAATTTTCTTCAAAGTTATCCTTGCTTCCTCAGGTCTAAAGCAAATCTGATCAACATGACAGAGTTTAACATTTAAAATAACTCATGCTATTAGAGGAGGAGAAGGGTTGAGTGGGATGTTGTACATTGCCTAGAGTAAAATGGGTCTGAGAGTGCAAGGTTGTGAATACCCGAGCAAGAAAATAAACAGAGGAGAGACAACAAGCACATGAAATATCAGAGATTGTCATAAAAAATATACAGCTGCAGAACTCGCAACTTTGAAGTATAGAGGGAGCAGTGAATAACAAAATAAACATATATACATTCGATATTAAGGGTAATTAGGTCTCCTCCGACAGGTGACGTTGGCGGGGGCAGAGCCAGCTTTAATATTGATTGGACCCTGGGCAAGCATTTGATGGCCCCCCCGGGCCCCACTCCCTGACATGCAGTCACGCTCTCCACTTCCCAATGCAGTAGCGGAACCATTTTCCCATGCTTGCAGAGTTGTATTTAGCACTGAGCTGTGTTTGTGTATTTGAATGGAAGCATGTTTTTGTATGGAGTATGTTTGTGTAAATGTAGGGGTGTGTTTGAATGCAAGCATGCATCTATGTGTAGTTTTTTTTTTTTTTTTTTTAATACTTTGGTGTGTTTATGTATATTTTTGGTGTTTAATACGAAGATGTGTTTGTATGTATTGTTGATGTTTCAATGCAGGACTGAGTTTGTATGTAGTGTTGAAGGTTGAATGCAGGGGGTGTACTTGTGTGTAGTGTTGGCGCTTTGAATGATGAGCTGTATGCACATGTACACATACACTGCCACACACATACACACACACACTGAAACACATGCAGATACAGATATAAACACTGACACTCACACTAACACACATGCAGATACAGACTGACACAGATATACACACTAATACATACAGAGACATATATACAAACACTGACACATATGGATACTCAGACACACTGATGCATATACTGACACATGCAGATACACTGATAAAAACACTGACTATATACAGATGCACACACAGATATACACACACTGACAACATACAGATACACAAATACATACAATAACAAAGATACACACACTGACACATACAGACACGCAGATACACACAGACCACATAGAGAAACATAGATATACTAAATACAGATACACAGATATACATACTAACAACAGAGATACACACTGACAGACATACTGATACATACAGACACCCTGACAGACATACTCACACACATACTAAGACTCACACAAATACTGACACACATGCAAAGTTTACATTTTTACACACTGACAGAAATACTAACATGCACGGACATACTGACACACACAGATATAATGACACACACACATACACCTTGACAGACATACGGACACACACACGCCCTGTCAGACATACTGACACACACAGACATACTAAGACACACATACTGACACACACAGAAACCCTGACAGACATACTCACACACATACTAAGATACACACAGACATACTGACACACACACACCCTGACAGACACACACAGACATACTAAGACACACACACAGAAACCCTGACATACTCACACACATATATACTGACACACACACAGACATACTAACAGACATACTGACACACACACACACGGTAAGATCCACAACATAGAAACTCTGACAGATATACTCACACACATATTAAGACACACACAGACAGACATACAGAACTGGTGACATATACACACACACATAAACCCCGACAGACATACTCACACACATACAAACATACTAAGACACACACAGACACCCTGACAGACATACTGACACACACATAAATGGTGACACACACACACACACACACATACACAAAGACACCCTGACAGACATACTCAAGCACTAAGACACACACAGACATACTGACACACTGACAGACATACCGACACACACACACACACACACACACGGTGAGATACAAACACAGAAACCCTGACAGACATACTCACACACACAGACATACTGACACACACACACACACACACACAGAAATGGTGACACACACAGACACCTTGACAGACATACTCACACCCATACACACACACAGACATACCGACACACACACACACACACACAGATTTGTTGTATATTACAGTGCCATTTTGTGTAAACTCATGTTCTGGGGTCAGTTTATTGAGGTCCAATCTCTTAGGTTAGGTGGTTCCTGGTGTAGGGGGCTGAAGAAATATTTAAATGTGGGGTTCTCTGAGATTAACAGCTGTAGATCTTTATCCCTTAAGGACACATGACATTTGTGACATGTCATGATTCCCTTTTATTCCAGTTTGGTCCTTAAGGGGTTAAAAATGTTACGTAATTGTTCTTGGGTATCCTTGTTGTGTGTTTCCTTATTTGTAATTAAGATGCCAATCCCATGGTGTTTTTATGGCAGATTTTATTATCATTCCCCCACACCCCATTAGCCATTGTCCTTTCCTTATAGCCCTTTTATTGAATGTACGGACAGTGTGTGCTCAGATGATGTCTGTATCAGGGCAAGTGCAGCAGTATTTGATAGCAGACAATATCTTGGCTGTAGACAATACCTGTAGACAGGGCCGTATCTCCTGCGAGGCAGACAAGGCATTTGCCTTGGGCGGCAATTTCCAGGGGGCAGCAAAAAACACCGCCCCCCAAATGCCCAGGCAAATGGCTTGTTTGCCTCGCTTACGGGGGCCCAAGTGCTGGCCACCTTTGGGCCCCCGGGGCAGGCGGCCAGTTGTTTCCGGGGCGGGCGGCGAGGAAGCACTTTTCCCATAGCTCTCCTGCTCAGCTCCCTCGCGCAACCCGCACTGATGCAGGGAGCCGGAATATGAAGTCAGTCCGGCTCCCAGCATCACTCTGCGACGCACTAGGAGGCTGAGCAGGAGAGCTCAGGGAAAAGTGCTCCCTCACTAACAGCTTAGTGTGGCCATCTGCCCGCCAGCCTGCCTGCACGACATGCCCACCTCCCTGCCCAGCAGACCCACTGGACCCCAGGTGAAAAATCCACCCAGCTCTAGGTTGGGTGGATTTAAATTTAAAAAAAAAAATAATAATAATAATAATAATAATGAGTATTGGGGGGAAATGTGAGTGTGTGTGTCAGTGAATTTGAGTGTGTGTCAATGAGTGAGTCAGTGAATGTATGTGTGTCTGTCTGTCAGTGAATGTTTGTGTCTGTCCAGTGAATGTGTGTGTCTGAGTAATTGTGCATGTCTGCCAGTGCTTATGTGTTTCTGTCAGTGAGTGTATGCATCTGTCAATGTGTGTCTGAATGGTTGTATGTGTCTGTCAGATTGCGTCAAAGCAGTTAGTGTTTGTGTGTGTATATGTCAGTGTATCTGAGAGTGTGTGCTGGTCTGTGAGTGTGTGTCTGTCAAAATGTGTGTTTGTTAACAGGAAGAGTTGTGGCCTTGGCGGGAAGGGGCGGGTACATTTAAATTAGGGTGTCCCGAGCTCTGTCACCACTGCCTGTAGACGCAGGGCCGGCGCATCCATAAGGCGGCTGCCTTAAAGCGCCACAGCAGGGGGGGGGGGGCGCAAAAATCCAAATCCCCAGCCCCTGGTCAGAGACTTGGATTTTTAAATATTTTTGGCACAACAAAAACATCAACTGCTGTCCGCCAGCCAGGCATTTTTGCCTGCGTAGTCGAAGATGCTTGCACCAGCCCTGTGTAGACGATACCTTGTGTGATTGGGATGGAAGCTGGAATTGTGAAGTTAGCTGTACATGTCTGTGGCTTTTCTGTACAGATGAATGAAGAATGCCATTGGTAACAGTTATGGCACAGTCTGGGAACCTCACACTGTGTTTTGAGAAACTAATTTTGAGGTTTATTGAACAGAAAATAAATTATTTCTGGAAGACTAGAAGGCTTTCTTCTCCTTCGGCCCATATTATGAAAATGTCATCTACAAAGTAATATCAATATGGCATGTGGCGGTGAGTTTAAAAATCCGTGCTCTAGGTCGGCCATGAAAAGACATTCTTCAGAGTTATATATATATATATATATATATATATATATATATACACACATATATACACACACATACACACACACACACACACACCTCTGCATTCAAAGTCACATGCACCTAGTGTGCCTGTTTTCTATAGAATGTAAGTTTGACACCCCATTATTTTTTGAAAACTTTCAAATGTGGTCTCTGTGTTCTTGGTGTGAAAAATCCTTTTTTTTTTTTTTCATACTCTTGCCCAATACGTTGCTTACAGATCAGCGTGCCAAATCAAATTGAGGTGAAAACAAATCTCCTATTAGCAGAGTTATTTACTAAAGTGAGAATTAAATGTGAATTAGAAGTGAATGTCAAATTCAAGGTAAAAATAGCAAAGTTGGAAAAATTCAGAGATAATTATAATTTTTCTTCTTTTGCCTTAAATTTAAAAGTTCACTGTGAAATCTCACTTAAGTGAACAACCTTATATATGTCAAACATTATGATGTTAACCTGCTATCAGCAGTTAAAGTTCTCTGTCATTTTATAAGATTCTCCTGCACTTATTTGAACTGTTTACTTGGTATTGGATAGGACTGTATACTTTTTATGACATTGTTGGCATGCAATGTAAATTTATTAAAGTATGCAAAACATTTCCTTATTTTGTCTGCATCTTTAGCATGGTAGCACCCTTTATTAATTGGAATTGAAAACTAAAAAGGGACGTTCTATATGGAAGGGGATGGGGGAAGAGGGTTGTCCCATTGGAAAGCAATACAATATTCTTGTGTGCTTACCCTTTGTCTTCAAATGTCCTCTTGGTTATTGCATCCTCTAGCTCTGGGCAGCACAGTTCATAAAAACAGCTCAGCCTGAGGGGTACAAAGAATATACCTTGTTATGTTGAAATGTCTGCTGTCCAAAGACATAGGTTCTGCAGATGCCTGCCATACTCTAGTACCAAATCTGTGTGCAAAGATATTACAGCAAAGATCCACAGCACCTTTATAATCTATGTAAGACAACATATGGTACTAGGGTTCCAGGATTTCTCAAAAACCAGCACTTATAGATCCTCTAGCGGCTTTAAAAAAATAAATTAAAAAAAATAATGTTCTGCCAGTAACCTTATTAAAGATCCTAAAGATGATAATTATAGCAGAGACGTGTGTGTGTGTGTGATACTGGATTTATAGCTCATTCCTTTGGAGCACCATAACTGGTTGTAAGGCTCAATTAAAATTATGCAAGCACAGAAGCATTCAGTTAGCGATGGTCAAACTGAACCAAACAACCAGGAAGATGCTGCAGATATGCAAGAGGAAACATGGTCTTACTCTCCCTAATACCACTTACCGGTTAAGGAAGTCATGTTTCTTTAAAGTTTCCGATGAAGCTGGGAAAATGTCTAGGAAAGCCCACAGTGTGCTTGTAGAATCACAAAGATATAGTACAGCATCTTGCAATTCCTAATGTAGAGCCAGGATTAAAACAGGACAGAATAGATGGTGAAAAAAGAACAACATAGAACATAGATAAAGAGAACATAAACAGTATATGGGTTGCTGACCTCCACTGGCATGTCTAGAGGTGTTGACCGGTTTTGTTCTCCCAGTTTCTGTAGCTCTACCGAGTCTTTATCCTGCTGAACTCCACAGACTACAAGGATACTGCTCAACACCTATCGGAGCAGAAAACCTGTGTCAGGGCAAATAGTCTTTATCAAGTCCATCCATGCCATTCTCTTGCTACATACCTGTAACAGTGTTGGCACACTGTCATCGAGGTCTTGGTAATAACTAGGCTGATGCCGGAAAATGTTATCTGAAAGTAGAAGCATACAAGGACATTCACATTGAAGTGGGGTAAAAATTATATTAAAAAAAAAAATGAAACAAAGACTGATAAAAAGAAAAGCTATTGTCGGGGCATACAGGGAGTGCAGAATTATTAGGCAAGTTGTATTTTTGAGGATTAATTTTATTATTGAACAACAACCATGTTCTCAATGAACCCAAAAAACTCATTAATATCAAAGCTGAATATTTTTGGAAGTAGTTTTTAGTTTGTTTTTAGTTATAGCTATGTTAGGGGGATATCTGTGTGTGCAGGTGACTATTACTGTGCATAATTATTAGGCAACTTAACAAAAAACAAATATATACCCATTTCAATTATTTATTATTACCAGTGAAACCAATATAACATCTCAACATTCACAAATATACATTTCTGACATTCAAAAACAAAACAAAACAAATCAGTGACCAATATAGCCACCTTTCTTTGCAAGGACACTCAAAAGCCTGCCATCCATGGATTCTGTCAGTGTTTTGATCTGTTCACCATCAACATTGCGTGCAGCAGCAACCACAGCCTCCCAGACACTGTTCAGAGAGGTGTACTGTTTTCCCTCCTTGTAAATCTCACATTTGATGATGGACCACAGGTTCTCAATGGGGTTCAGATCAGGTGAACAAGGAGGCCATGTCATTAGATTTTCTTCTTTTATACCCTTTCTTGCCAGCCACGCTGTGGAGTACTTGGACGCGTGTGATGGAGCATTGTCCTGCATGAAAATCATGTTTTTCTTGAAGGATGCAGACTTCTTCCTGTACCACTGCTTGAAGAAGGTGTCTTCCAGGAACTGGCAGTAGGACTGGGAGTTGAGCTTGACTCCATCCTCAACCCGAAAAGGCCCCACAAGCTCATCTTTGATGATACCAGCCCAAACCAGTACTCCACCTCCACCTTGCTGGCGTCTGAGTCGGACTGGAGCTCTCTGCCCTTTACCAATCCAGCCACGGGCCCATCCATCTGGCCCATCAAGACTCACTCTCATTTCATCAGTCCATAAAACCTTAGAAAAATCAGTCTTGAGATATTTCTTGGCCCAGTCTTGACGTTTCAGCTTGTGTGTCTTGTTCAGTGGTGGTCGTCTTTCAGCCTTTCTTACCTTGGCCATGTCTCTGAGTATTGCACACCTTGTGCTTTTGGGCACTCCAGTGATGTTGCAGCTCTGAAATATGGCCAAACTGGTGGCAAGTGGCATCGTGGCAGCTGCACGCTTGACTTTTCTCAGTTCATGGGCAGTTATTTTGCGCCTTGGTTTTTCCACACGCTTCTTGCGACCCTGTTGACTATTTTGAATGAAACGCTTGATTGTTCGATGATCACGCTTCAGAAGCTTTGCAATTTTAAGAGTGCTGCATCCCTCTGCAAGATATCTCACTATTTTTTACTTTTCTGAGCCTGTCAAGTCCTTCTTTTGACCCATTTTGCCAAAGGAAAGGAAGTTGCCTAATAATTATGCACACCTGATATAGGGTGTTGATGTCATTAGACCACACCCCTTCTCATTACAGAGATGCACATCACCTAATATGCTTAATTGGTAGTAGGCTTTCGAGCCTATACAGCTTGGAGTAAGACAACATGCATAAAGAGGATGATGTGGTCAAAATACTCATTTGCCTAATAATTCTGCACTCCCTGTAAATACAGAGAGAAATAAAGGATGTGTGAATGACAATAAAACATTAACATGGGGAAACGTGCAAAAGGAATTGTATACAAATATAGTTGTACAATACTGAGCCAAAATTGACAGCAAAAAAAAAAGAAAAGGTAATGACAATAGGTTGTAAATGTGTTGCTCACCAATCATTTTTTGAAGAAGGCCAGAGTTTCCTTTCCCAAACAAGACACATATATCCATTAGCTTTGGTATGTCAAAGAGAAAGTTATTGTATATGATCTCCCCAAACACAGATGGGGTTATGTGATGATCCTGCAGAATACAGACAGCATTATGCACATGGAATAAAACTGTTAACATATGAAATCCAATGAATTTTCCTGACTATACAAAACTCTGTACCTTGGACTCTTTGTGTGTAGACATTCGCAAGAAGGTGAGGAAGACACAACGATGAAGTTCACTCTGAACTTGCTGCACAGCTGGTGGAAAGGGAGGGTGGGGGTCATAGCTCCGTGGGCAGTTACTCAGGAAAGAGTCAAGACATTTCTGTAGAGATTCGTCATAGATTACCTGGCAAAGAAAAGAAAAATAAACACTGAAAATTAAAATGTATTTTAGCTCAAACAGCACAACAAGAAACAACTTTAACTATAAAATGTCAATAGGACCATTAGTTAGAGATTGTTATAAGAAGCAAGAGTTTCACTCTTACCTGACACCAAAAAAGATCATGAGGCAGTGCAAGCAACCAGCGCAGATCCTGTATGATAAATTCAGATCTCTCTAAGAACTCCTCAAGCAAAGCAGGACTACATAATGCTGGAGGAGGCAAATACAGCACAAAGTGCCTAGATACAGCCCGCTTGGGGTCCTAGGGATAGAACAAGAGATAGTTATTTTCTTGGTTTTGTTTTACTGTTCAAATTCTGCATTATGGTTTTATGAAAACTGAGTAAATTAGCATTTTAATGTTTATAATGCAATATGAGAGAAGTAGTTTAGTCTACCAATTTACACTCAGTTAAAAAACAAACAACAACAAAAAAAAAAAACTGAGAAAACAGTACAAGCAATAAATGATTCGTAGAGCAGTGGGCAGATCAACCTCCTACGAGGAGAATGGTGGATTACCGGTAAGTAAAAGATTTTTTTCATTAATTTTATTTATTTTATTTTTTTAAATAAAAGGGAAGCCATTAATGTGATATATATATCTGTCTATTAAATTTATATATTGAGCGTTTAAGACTAATAGAAAGTAAAGTAAATCAAATTTAAATTTGGTTTCAATTATTTAACCAAGTGATACATTTCAATTTATAATGTCTATTTCCAAAGGTCAGGTTGGAGGAGATGTTCAGTGGTTAGTAACATGTATGGAAATATAGTAATATAAGACATGAAATTTTAAGCTTTGATTATGTTATGATAATAATCACACAAAACTAAAATTGAATTAACAAGTCTCACCAGGGCAGGTAAAGACCGTAACTTTCCAGTCATTCCATCCTTGTGATCCACATGCTGCTCCTCTAGTGGCAGAACTGGCATTCTAAGAACAAAAATATGCAGTAGTGTCAAAAAAGTTGTAATATACAAATGAAAGCTTAAAGTGTACCTGTCATGGTACACAAGTTTGCTTAGTTTGGAAATAGATTAGATGTCATCTCTACGTTGTGCAAGTAAAATTGCTAAACAATGTATAGAATGGATGAACACCTTATTTAAAAATAAGTATTTCCCACACCTATTAATAATTTATTTGGTCAAGTCCAGTGGTTCCCAAATAAGTCCTCATATCCCACCAACAATACAGGATTTATCCATTTCCTTTTCTATTCCAATGCAGATAATGACAAAACCTGAAATAATGCAGTGATGTGAGGACTGGCTTGGGAACCGCTGGTCTAGACCTCTATGCTAAAGAACTGACTGGAAGAGAGACCAGGAAAGACCTACCCCAGGTGTATTTTCTGATCTGTGGTTGATATGGTTAACCTCCAGCCAATGCTTCTTGTGTTCTCTATGACTGATGTCTATACGTTAAGAAGCCAGTATGTTGGCGAAATGGGGTAGCAAGCACATCCCAGTGCCAATCACTGTCAGCAGGAAGACCCAATCTGGGTCTTCCCAGATCCCATGGATCTCATTCTCTCAGAGAATCCATGTGCCTGAATGCAGTAATTGAGCCACAGTGATTTAAACAGCTGTATGCAGTCTGTGACTCAGCTCTCTCGTGTGATGACAATGTAAGTCTTTCCTATTGTGCACGTAGTGAGTGCATTCTGCATGCACAATAGGGAAGAAATTGACACAGTCAGCCCATGTTTAAAGAAACACAATAGGAATACAAATGTTTAGGTGACTGGGGCCCCAGCTGCCAGGAATAAAATTATGAGTCTATTTACAATTTCACCCACGCAGCACTGATCTCTGGCATTCTGCTCTGTCTATTTGGTTGAGATTATGGAGATCAATGGTCTCAGTCAATGCAATGATTTCCTATAGGAAAGCATTGGGAGGCTAGTTCCTGTTTGAGATCACTATTTAGGTGGGAGTGTCTCTAGTGGCTTTCAGTGTGACAACCAATTGAGTCAGGTAATAATTTTATGAAAACATTTTTGTTCCTTCCTGCAGAACAAAATTATTTTTAGCTGCAGGTTTAAACCAAGGGAAGGTGGGACACATAGCACCCAGATTACTTCATCCAGATGATGCGGTCTGGGTGCCTAGAGTCCCTTTTTATGTTTTGCGCTTTTACAAAACAATGCCAGTTTAAGTCATTGCCTGAGATGAGAGAGGGCTTATGGTGTAATAAGCACAATGAACTGTGCAGTAATTCATTGTTTATGGGACCCTTTAGTCATTTAAAGGCAAAAGATCATCAGAGACAACTTCATAACTGTGAATCTGATAGTCTGATTAAATAAAGCAGACACTGAATGGTACAGAATGATTACAAACTCATTTCAACCAGATATAAATGTATTAAATATGAAAATTGCCATACCTGTTAAATGTTTGTTATTTTCACCAAATGTTGTCTATCTGGATAAAATATGATCTCTAGTAAATAAACCCCAAATTAATCATTTCAACCCCATCGAAATGAACGGCTGAAAGGCATTTAAAAAGCTGTTATGATTAAAATCAAAGAAGGGAACTAGACACCTGCAGGCATTTACTGTCTAATAGAAAAACCAGGTAGGTATGAACTACTGGTGACTGACAGGCAGGTAAGTACCCCAGATTATCGCTAAAATGCTCATACACACCTGTCTCCAGCTGCTCCGGGAGCACTTCCTGGTGCAACGTGCTGCTTCCTGTTAATGCCGGAAGTGAGTCAGAAGTCAGAGTGTTATAGAACAGTGGCTGCTGGTTACACTGTATCATCACACAGCTTTACTGACAGCTTGCTATGTGCACAGCTCTCCCCAGTGCTGACAGAGGGAAGGCTCATTCTGTAATAACAGGGCGGCTCGGTATTCAGCTCACTGGAAATTATGCTATGACAGCAAAGCATCATGGAATGAGCTCTAGTTTGGCAACAAATGAGAATTAATTTTTGGGCCACCCCTGCTATGGCGTAACCTGTCCAGCAAAGATTCTCACTTATGGATAGGATTTAACAACAGTCCTGTTAGTGTAAAGATTAATGTTACTTCCTCAATTTCAGTATTAGCTAATACCTAGCTAAAAGTTAACTATAGGTTATGCCAGTGGTTCCCAAACTTTTTAGGTTCAAGGCGCCCTTAATATTTCAATATTTTTCCAAGGCACGGCAAGTCAAAATTTCTCAGTTGTATAGCATTTACTGGCGCTATAGTGTAATGTACAGTGTTGGTATTTGAAGGGGTGCTTGTATATCGTTTTCGTGTTTTAACCCCTTAAGGACTGGACTGTTTTTGCGACCAAGCCTCTGTTTAGCTGTAATTTTCTGCTTTCTCATTTACTGTTCCTATACAAATTATATATTGGGTTTTTTTCAGGACAAAAAAGGCTTTCTTTACATACCATTATTTATATAATCTCATGTAATTTAAAAAAAAAATATGATGAAAAATTGAAAAAAATACATGTTTTTTGACTTTTACTTTAAAAATCTTTTACTCATCTACAAAAGCAAATGAAAAAAACTGCTAAATACATTCCAAATTTTGTCCAGCGTTTTAAAAAAACCAAGTGTTTACATGCTTTTTTTTGCAAGTTATAGGGCTATAGGTACAAGTAGGATATTGTGGTTTCAAAACATACATTTTATTCAAATTTATCAATAGTGACATTGTAACACTATTATCTGCCATAAATCTCTGAATAACACCCCACATGTACATATTTTTTTTAAAGTAGACAACACAGGGTATTCAATATGGTGTATGTCCAGTCTTTTTTAGTAGCCACCTAGTCACGAACACTGGCCAAAGTTAGCGTTCATATTTGTTTGTGTGTGAAAAAAGTAAAAAACTAAACTGAACGCTAATTTTGGACAGTGTTTGTCTATATATCATATATATAATTATATTTTTTTATTAACATGTACCTTTTATTATTTTTTATGATTTTACACTAGCAGGGAGACTGCCTGTCAGCACAGGCAGTCCCCCTGCAGGCAGACACATGGACACCTAGAGCGATCACATGGCCCCAGGGGTCCTAATCCACCATGGGGAGACTGTCTGGGCTGCAGGCAGTCTCCCCACAACGGGAGCACTGCCAATCGCCGCCGGGGGTACGACGGCGATCGGGTAAGTACATTACACCGTTAGGACGGTTCAGGACCGTCACCGGTCGGCAACGCAAAAATGCTGATGACGGTCCTCAACTGTCCTAGGTTGTTAAGGGGTTAATACAGGGGTGTGTTTGTGCTTGATTGAAGGGGTGTGTTTGTATATCCTTTTGGAGTTTTAGTGCAGGGGTGTGTTTGTATGTAATATTTGTGTTAGATTGCAGGAGTGTGTTTGTATGTTCTGCTGGTGTATCACTGCTTGGATGCATGCACATACACTACCACATACATACATACATCCTTACAGATATACATACAAACAAATTCATATAGAGACACACATAGATACACACACTGACACATACACACACCTTAACGCAAGCATACATCAACATATACACACGCACCCTGACACACACAAACATTGATACATGCACACACTGACATAAAACCACACAATGACACACAGATGCACATACAAAGATGCATATCCTGACACACAGATGTATGTGCAGACACACCCACTGACACAGAAGCACACTGAAATATAGACACACACAAATGCACACCGTGACACACACACAGATCCACAACCTGACACACAGATGCACACCCTGACACACAAACACAGTCATACACAAACACACTCATACAAACACAAGTGATATTTTTAATATCTCAAGCCATCCTCCTGCTTGCTTACATTATGTGTCTAGTAGGGTGGCTTGGAGTTCTGATCCTGCTGCTGCTGGTGGGAGTGAGGGGTCTGTAGCTCTTCATGCTCCTCTCCCCTCATGCCGGGGTGCCTCTTGTGCTGTCTCCCTGCATGATGCTGGGAGGAAGTGACAGCCTGTCACTTCCTCCCACCCGGCCGACATTACAGGGGCCCGGTCGCAGTCTTAAAGGACCGCGGCACCTGACCTGGCCCATGCTCAGCAGTAATGTTTTCCGGTGCTATAATCATATCATATATCATATAAACATAATATATATATTTTTTAAAATTCTATGTGGTTCATTTTATTTTTATTTACATACTTTGCCTGGCACGGATGCCAATGAGTTAACTCTCACCACCCTCCTTACTGATGACTACTGTTGCTGAGAAACCTTTTAGGGGATATTTTGAGAAGAAGAAAAGAAAAAAGGATAACATAGTAGCTTAGTAAGCTCTAATAGGGGTTTCATGTCACCAATTGGCTTTGAATTGGGCTATCAGAACCTGGACACTCTAAAAAAAAGTCCAGACTTATATGGCTTTCAATTCCTGTGGTATGCATTCCCTTTTAGTAATCCTCAGTCATGTCAAGCACTGACCAGATATGAAGCCACTTTGCATGTTTTAAGTATCAGTACAACTGATGAAGATGATAAATGTCACCATATTACATAGTTACATAGGTCGAAAAGAGTTGTGTCCATCAAATTCAGCCTTTCTTCCATCTGTTTGTTATTGCTGTCAATTAATAACTTTATTATTAATATTAGATATTATATCTATCCATCTATTCTATCTCATGAGTGATATAGATAGATAGTCATGACAAGCAGTAAACTTTCAGGGGTAAACACCAAGTGCTTGCTTTTGAACTTGCCAGTATCACTTTCCACTGGACTACCTCACCAAGTGCTGTGGAATTCTGTAAGTTATAACCATGCTGTGTGTGAGAAAGGGGTATAAATGCAACATTTCTGAATTAAGGACTAGATTAAATATGTGATGCCTGCGTCTAAACTGTTTATTTTGTTATTAGTAAATTCACAATTTTATATTCAATATTATGTTAGGGCTGGTACAGTGATATGTGCATCGGCCTCATAACCCATTCTTCTACAGATTAAAATCATGGGAGTTGTGTCGGAATGTCTCTTGGCACAGGAGTGAAGTAATAGGATGAAGCAAAACCTTTATTAGCCTCGCACAGTATGGATTTGTGTTTGGGCTGGGGCTTGTTCTTTAGATCTGGACTGTCCCACTGCGATATTTCCTGGGAGACTGTAATGTCTGGGGACCATCAGACTACCAGACTATGATAAATATGTATGAAGTTTCTGGAGATGACTCTAGGGTGATATTAGACAGGGCTCATTATATTCATAACACCATCTAGGACAAGACTCGCCAATGAGTAAGTTGGGCAAATCTGGGCCTAGATGATGGATAGATGTTGGCTGAGGCCAACAGGGGACATCAAGGATTTCCCTATCGGTTTAAGGCAAGGCTGGCACTATCTAAGCACCAGCCTTGCTGTGTGCACTCACAGACTGGCAGGGAATATAATAAATCTTAGTAGGCTCTATACATGCAAATATTCTTCCTAAGCTTTGTGGTGGGTGTACGGTGCTCAGTATAGAACTGTAGAGAGGGGCTTTCTCCTTTGCCTCTCATCTTTTATTTTTTTAACCCTACTTATTCTTTTATTCATTTATTTATTTTTATTGTTGGTTGTGCAGCTACAACACTTAGTAAATAAAGACATCAGCTACAGCTCAAATAAATGAGAAACAATGCCATGTAGCAATTGTATAAATATTGTAGTTACACATTTTGACAGAAAATCAAGACAAGGAAAAACTAGCTGAAACAAACTAATATATATAATCTCTACAGCAGTAATGAAATCACATTAGATCATCTTTTAAGAAACTAAGATAAAGTGAGGTATAAGAAAGGGCCGAGGAAAGACTCATTGCTCTGACCCTTAAGTATCTCCCTCAGGGGCCGGCAAATATTAGAGCCTCAGCAGGTAATCGCAGTCGTGGACCATGTTGGCCTTCTGGGGTCAATATCATATTCAACGGATCCTCCAAGGCACAGAACCTTGTGCAAAGAGCCTCAAAGGCCTAGTCAAAACCTGTAGCTTGAAGGCTCTCAATTTCTTCTGCCTGAGTGCACGACAAACTGGAGTTGGCAGCATTTTAGTGATCCGTCAATGTGTAGACTTTATTAGCTGAGTCCTCAGGAGGGTGAGTACAGGGCTGCTCCAGGGAAGGGGGAGTACGAACAGGGGGAGTGGGGTGGGGCTGTCATGTGGAGCCATGAACAGGCCAGCCTGCTGTTATGAAAGGGAATGGCTACCTCCCCTGCATCCTAGGCCACAATCTTGAGACCCACTCCAAAAGGGCATCATTAGTCAGCCCAGAACAAAGTTCCATGCCAGCTAATGTAAATTCTGTACCCAATTTGCGTCTGATGCCAGCACACATTATTATTATATTATTTATATAAGGCCATCAAATTCCGCAGCGCTTTACAATGGATGGACGAACGGACATGTAGCTGTAACCAGACAAGTTGGACACACAGGAACAGAGGGGTTGAGGTCCCTGCTCAATGAGCTTACATGCTAGAGGGAGTGGGGTAAAGTGACACAAAAGGTAAGGAGAGTATTAGACTAGTGACAGTGGCAAGAGAGGAATCAGTTGGGAGCTATTAACAATTTAATTGATACGCTTTTACGAAGGAGTGGGTTTTTAATGATTTTTTGAAGGAGTGGATACTGGGTGAGCATCTAATGGAGGAGGGAAGCGAGTTCCACAGGAACGGTGCAGCCCTCAAGAAGTCCTGAAGGCGAGCATCAGAGGTGGGAGTACGGACAGAAGATAGGCGCAAGTCTTCAGCAGAGCGTAAGGGCCTAGACGGGACATACTTGTGTATTAGGGAGGATAGATAGGTGGGAGCAGCATTATGTAGATATTTGAAAGCAAGATAGCAAGGGTTGCACTGCCCACCTCTTTGTTCTTCTCCTGTCCTCCC